CAGAAGCCTGCATTGCTCACCTGTTCTACAGCAATAACATTGATTACATGTATTCATTCACCTATTATCAATAATTTTTGGAAAAAAAAAATGTAGGTTTGAAAGGAATTTGATTTTGATAGCAATTTTGGGGAAATTTAAACATTTCAAGGAGGACAAGAAATCATGAGTTCTTCAAACCATGAAAACAACTAAAATTAAAAACCCACAAAAATTAATGATTTCATATCGAAGTTTGCATAATGAATCTTTAAATATGTACTTTTAGTAAAAATTTCACTCTGGATTACAGTGAAAATTTTAGACTCTAGTGACAATTTTTTCCCAAGTAACTTTCCAAGTCTTCTTATACAGTATAGCAAAGTATCATTTCCATCATGCAATTATAATCCAATAATTCATTTACTTTTATTAACTATACATACAAAGGATATTTCTGTGTTGATGGAACTCTTTCGTAATCTGTAACATCTAAAGAAGATATAAAACAAACATTTTGGGCCAGTTTTCACCAAATCGTAGAGCAAGTCGTGTTAAAAATATGTTGATCTGCTGTGGTAAGCTTTGATGTTTCATAATGCAGTAGATGTTTTGAGTGAAATATGATGACATGAGCTACACACAGAAGAGCTCTATTTCTGAAGAACTTATAAATTTGTCATTATATAACAGGAAATGTTTATCAAATGTCGCCTAGGACACCTGTTCAACATTATTTTCCAAGTAATTTTTTATAAGTGCTTCTTGCATCAAGTAAAAAGAATCCCTTCTAAAGTTGCTCAGACATTATAAAGCACCAAATAATTACTTTCATATGAACAAGGCGGGTTTCATGTAATATAACTTCATTGAAATATCTCTGCTGTTTCCGCCCCAGGAAAAGTTTTTGCTAACCAGTCTACGTAGAATATTTCATCAAAGACATGCACTTTAAAACTGATTTCAGCAAATGAAAAATTTACATCATCTAAAACGTAATTAAAACTACCCAAATTATGTAGCTGTTTCCCGTTTACTTTATACACCTGACTCCATTAATTTACAAAGGAATCTATTCATATTGTGCTAACATGTCTCTCTGCTTCCCAGCAACCCAGCTTTGAATTCTTCAACATTTGTCTTCAATAAAATATATCAGGACAGCCCCCTTGAAAATCCAGCTTCTGTTGGAACCTATTTAAAAATCTATTTCAAACTGAAAATTAGTGTGGGAAAGTTTAGAATTCCAACTTATAAAGAGGAAAAACAAACAAGAAGATACAATTGCTCTGTGAAAAGTAGTAAAATATAGCTGATTCTTTGGAACCTATATTCATGAACAATTTCTAATTTTGCTGTCTGATGAGTTAAAAGACAATAATTGTGTTAAGACATAAAGTGTTTAAAGTTAAGATAAGAGCTCAAAAAACTGTTAGAAGATATGTTTGATAACAGTTTACTTATTATAAATTATAAGATCCTGCAGATTTTTTACCCATAATCCTCCCAGTAAATCACCCTATCAGCACCCCTGGTGTCAGTACAGATAGCAACTCCTCAATAAATGTAAAAGGCTGCCAATCTACTAAAGTGTCTCTCTGAACAAAAGTAATATCAGAACACATGAGGTAATTTTTAAATCTAGAATATACAACAATGATTTATGAGCCTACATACTACTTTCCAATGCACGGGTGGCATGCAGTGTCCTTAGCAGTGAAAGAAAGGGTGGAAGATTGGTCCATCCACTGACTAGACAATAGTAATTCAATAACCTCTATAAATGCTCGGTTCATACTAAATGGAGTTTATTTCATTATTCTCTTTAGTGTTCAGGTAATTGGTTTAATGTGATCAAAGATGTTCCACCATTAAGACAGTCTTTGGATTTATATAAAGCTGCCATTAGCTTCATGTGCTGTGTCCATAAATTGAACCTGAACTTCATTTCTTAGACTGGACGTTTCCGATTCAATTCAATGTATCATAGTTACTTTTCTCAAACCAAGATATTTGGAGATTAATGGAGAACTGTAGGGGGAAAAAAGTTTGTCAGTTATTAAGATGCTTGGTGGCTGGGTGAGGAATGGCCATTGCTGGGAAGAGCTCCACACTCCTGGCATGAAGTGTCCAAGTGATGAAGAAAAACAGAAGCTTCCATTGATCACCCTGTCAAATGTCTGATTGACCGAATAAAAGGAGTTCATTTCTTTCATTCTCTATTGGTCACAAAACAACTATACATAGTTAACAAAATTACAGACTTTTGTTTTCCCAAGGGAAAAGGTGGGGAGAGAAGTTTGAAATACACCAACTACTTGTATTTTAAGCTTTAATAAATTGTCCTTAATGAGTTGGTCATACTGTACAAGTGATCAAACAAAACACCTAGGGTATGCAGAGAAAAACTGCAAAGAGATTTTAATCCTCCCTTGTGGTGAACTATAAGGTGGTTCTTTCATCTCTTGGTCTGTGTTTTGTTGATGTTGTGGGGGGTTGTATATATTGATAAAGACTACAAATCTATTCCATCTTCATTCCTCTCCTCCCCTAAAGAAAGTGATAACATCCTCAGCTGATGGTCAGTCAGAAAAGGGGGAGAAAACTGGCACACTGTTTACCCACTCACAGCATGGAATGGTGATCCCATCAGGGGAGATCACCCTGATAAAGACACACCATGACAGACAAAGGGAGATCACTCCTTAGATAGTAGCAGATCAAGCATCATGATTGAAAGTGCACAATTATATGCATTTTTCAAAAGACAAAAAATATACAGGAACAGCTGTTTACCTTTGAATGAACAGTTTGCCAACTTTTTTCTCAAATCAATTCATCTTCAGTTACTATGGAAAAGTATTGAATGATTTCAAAAATTAAAAAAAAATTAATATAAAGTAAGCATGAATAAGCATTAATCACCATTATGCTTATTTGGATTTCCTTCAAGAAAGAAAAATGTAGATGTTTACCGTGAGAATGCATTAGAGATGCTCTGCTATGAGGTGATGCTTGCATCAAACATTCACCACTGGAATTCTGAAGCAACCAAAAAGATAAAATGTTTTTTACACATGCACATGAAAGAATCTTATTTTCCTCAGAATATACAGACACTTAACTTCCATTTACCCATGGACAATTGACTACTGGTTAACAAACCTTGCAATCTTAATCTTTGAAATGTTTTATTCATTTAAAGTTATAGCATGCTGTTTCAAACCTTCCTATTTCTAGATCAAAGACTAATTTCTAGAACTGTATGTTGCATACATGTAGTCTTATGTGGTTGTTAAAGTGATGATGCTTCTAACATCTTACTTAGGACTGAGAAAATTGTTAAATAATTTGTCAACAATTTGACTGAAATCTTTGAGGAAATGGAAAACGTAAGAAAATGACTTCACATTGTTCTCTCTGCTTAGTAAATCAATTTCCCGTGCAGCTTTTGACTGTAATTAATTTTTCTTTTTGAACACAGATCACTTGGTGCAGCTCCTTGTGATGTTTATAAAACACCTGACATTGCTAGTACTGGAAACTGTAAACACTATCAAACAAACTAGCCTGACTTCTGTAGCTCAGTACAGCTATAAACACTATGATACACACTGACAAAGAGCAAATCACTGCCTGATGACTGACAGGCAGCCTATAACAGCCACACTACTTGTAAACATTTTGTTACATGGTAAATTACAAGGTTCTGGTGTTCTTAAATTTTAATTTTCGTACTGATTTTTGTTGCTGGTGTGAATTGTTAGGAGATACTCCACAGACTATATTGAATCATGAGCCCTGAAATGTATGTTTTCTGGGACAAGTTTACATTGACATCGTGAGAAATATGTCACCTGGATTCATTGACCATCTGTATAACACCTGTCATTCCTGGGTCATAGTACTCAGGTGTATGGTAGGTAAGGCTGGACTTGTTAATGAGTTTGGTGTACAATAGATGTCCCTTTTTCAGTCAATAGTCAAGAACCATTATACATTTTGCTACTGAATCTTGTGAAAAATTTGAACTGAAATTGGGTTAATTATCCGAAATGATGAGAGACCAATGCCACATCACCTGTAAACAGTATAATACATGTGAAAAATTTAAATTCTGCTCTTCAGGTCAACATATATAGGTAGATAGGAATTAGATATAGTTGTTAGTATTTCTCTCCCATACATATTTAATAATCAAAGCAGAGATTTTTTGACAATAGATCCAGGATTCTTGAACAGGGGGGCTGACCAGTTGCAGGTCAGGGTGGGGGCCCAGAGGCCACATCAAAAAACTGATTGATTAAATCTTATATATATTTTTGGAAACAAAAAGGGGGGGGGGGGGGCTCTAAATCTGCCAGTGACCCTGTGAAGGCTAGAGTAAATCACTGTCTACTAGATGTTGATTCACTAAGGGTCCATTAAATTTATTCAAAATAACCTTTCCTGTCATGAAAATCCACCCCTGAAAACTTATCTAGAGGTTCCTAATGTTTTTGGCACAACCTTTTTTTTTTTTTTTTTTAAAAAACCCAATTTTTTTTATGTTTTACTCTACACCCTAACTTTCTGAATGGTAAAACTGTAAATGTGTGATATTTTGCATGTACGATATTTTAGAGGAAATTGGTTTTACAAGTTGGCATAGATTTGATTTAGAGCTTACTGAACATGATAGATATACATAAATATATACATGTACATACAAGACATTAAGGGCTGTACTTGATTTAGTGGAAGCTGTGAAAGGCGCTAAATAGAATATACCACAAAATGTTATACGTTTTCAGTATACTGTATACAGGTTATTTTCACCCCATTTTATTTTTGGCCTTTTACACTTACAATTTCGTCCTGTTTTAAAGTCATCCATACACAGTTTTGTTAAAGAGTTCATGTTTTTATTGAATTTTCACCATTTTAAATTCACCCACTTGTGAAAATGGCAAAATGGGCAAAAATAAAACTGGGGCAAAAAATTTCCTTGTATACAGTAGTAAATTTATGTTATTGCTTACTTTTCTACAGAGTTCTCCATGGCTCGGTGGGCCCAGTGGGTAAATGTGCCCAGAGCTCCAGACAGGAGATCACCCTGCCCACCACATCTCCGGGGTGATCCTTCAGCGGTACATACCAGCGCTATAAAAGTAAATCATAAGAATAGAAGTCAAATCTACTCCTTACTCACTATACTAAGGATATTTCAATAGGACCTTGATTTCAAAGAGTATCGCCAGATTTTAGTGAATATATATGCATGGTCATATGATAGGAGACATACAGTTAATCATCTATATTTCATAAGACTACTTTTGCATGCCAAATTTATAGCATTTATTAGCAGGGCCTCAACATTATGAGCAAGTAGAGTTACTTTCCATTATGTGACAAGGACTTTATTTTACCATTGAGACATTCTCATGAAATTTATATGCACAAATAAAATTCTTGCAAATAAAATTGCAATACCAATTTCAACCAATTCTAAATAAGAAAAAAAAAAATTCTTTATCAATCAAACTCTGAAATGATTGATTTTATTGCTAATCTTTCTATTAATATTATATACATTTCATATACTGTAGAAGTACTTTTTTCCGCGTTGTATTAATTTACACTATGTACTCGGTCACAAATTTTCCGCGGAAATTTCTCCAAACATACTTAATATACATGTAAGGCATATAGTGACAGTTTGAGAAATCTGCGTAATTTTCTACTAGCGGATTAAACAGAAAATGAGATTCCACGGAATTATGACCCCCAGGAAAAAAGCATGTCTACAGTATTCTAAACCAATGAATTTTTTTGTACTGAACAGAATTTATGTTGTACGCAAATGAAATGAAATCCATGGATGTGAAAGTATTAAAGGGCCACTATTTCAAAGAGTTTCTGTGGGTGCTTTCCAAGAAAAAAAAAATCCACTGGTTTATAAACTGGAGAAGTTTATCACAACATAATCTTATAAAAATGATATAGATATAAAATAAACAGCTATCAACTATCATTATAAAATCTGATCAAATGACTTTCCCCATCTTCTCACGGCTTTCTGTGGTGATAATCCTATGTTTCTTGGCGGCAATTCCTGATAACCTACCATATGTTTTCTTCTGTCTTAATTGTCATAAAAACATTTTAACAGAGTTTATACATAGATCAAATCAACCAATTTCCATCTGTCAAAAGGATGGCTTAACCAATTTTTTACAAGTCTTGGAATGAGAAAATATATCTATCAATTCGTGAAGAAGTCTGAGGCCTGGCATGGTAAAATGGCAGCATCTCTCATCAGCAGATGCTTACTGGTGGAAAACAACAAAATTAATGAAAAATACTCAATCTGCGTAATTATGACTTATTGCAACAAATGTTGCAATCCATAATATTCAAGGTTAAATGGTTTAGAAATTACACATCAGTGAAAATTTCATGTCTTGCATATAACACATATTAATCTTCTTGGCAAAAATTATTGGTAATTTGATACACTCCACACCTTTATATACCAATTCTCCTTAATATCTCTTGAGTTTTAGGACTTGAGCTGAATTTTTTTTTGTCATTTAGTACTGATGATTTTTCTGCTGCTACATGTAAGTTTTTTTTCTAATTACCTCATATATACGAAATGAATTTTTAAAACATATTTTTCAATTAGAATTAAAAAAATTAACTAAATGAATGTACATCCTTTACATCATCATCTTGAATTAAAATATTGTGCCTTAATGAACAGGTTTAAATTACTCTAGTGTTGCATATACCTATAAATTTTATTAACACTTGCATTGGGGAAATACTAAGTAACTGAGGTTGAAATATACAGAAACCTATTACATGTATTTCGCAAATAACATTTTTTTCAAATGAAGCTTTTAATAATAGCTGCTCCCCAGAAAATACTTGTACATGCACCTGTTGTTCATTGTTTTCCAAAAATTCAAGAGGCATTTGATGAGGATAATTTTTTTTCTTCAGAAGTCTGCCAGTGAGAAGAATTATAAATGCTTCTATGGCATTCCTAACCTTCCAAATCTGATATGTTACTGCCAATGTCTATCATAATCTGTTTTCACTGCAAATGAATCCTACATAAAGTCATTAGTGCCCTAACAGCATATGTGGATGTTTTTTGTTGGATTCTTATTGACAGCAAGGAACGGACAACATTGGTGGTGGGTCCCTCTCCTCACATCTGTTGTCAGCAAACATAAACATTTCATCAGAGCAGGCTTTTTAGAGAAATTCACCTGATAAAAGCAGCTCTGAAGTATCCCAGGACAAAAATATTGTCACATTGGCCTTAAATTGTGTTAGAATTATCTCACAATATCAGCTGTTTTATCTTAGAACATTTCACAGAGAATAAAACCTGAGTAAATGTGTCTGCAAAAGAGGCTAAATCAATTACTTGTATGATTACAATGTTATACTAATTAGATTTGAGTGTATAATGAGACTTTATGACACAGTCCAGGGGTTATAGAGAAAGGACTCAGGTGTGAGCTTTGCCAGAATTTCCTCCATTCTACTCTAAACTGTCAGAGATATTACAGATACTGGTGATTAACTGCTACTGGGCTCAGCTGTGGAGTGGGTAGTAGAATCTTACTGTATTGTGATGATAAATCCGAAATTAGCAAAAAATGTAATTATGGCTGAGGATAAAGAAATAAAAACAGCCCAGGAATTACATAATATACTATAGAATGGTCTTACGACTTCCCATAATTAGGAAACTCACCATTGTCGCCATCGGAGATGATGTCATCCTCCCCCTTCTGTACGATGGTCAGGTTCCCCATTTTACGACTGAGGGTGTTCACGTTTCCCACCAAATCTGTCCCATGAGGCTTGTGTCCAACCTAAATATTGGTGTTAATAGCATTTTAATCGAACTACATGTTCCCTTTTTCTACAATATTTGTTGAGAAAGTAAAAATAATTATTTGTAACCAAATAACCTGGATCTCTACTTTTAAGTCTAGCTCAAATTTTAAAAATATTAATAAGGATATTGATTTCAAATGGTATGTGATATTTGACAGTTAATTATTATAATATGACATTTTAATGTGCAGAACAGAATGATAATTACACAAACCCCAGATAATGTCATAGTGTCGGTAATCTGTAATGTATTTATAATGGACAGGAAGTAAAGTTTTGTTTATTTACCCTCACAGAGGGAATGATACTGTGGTAAATATTTATATCTCTGACGTGTTTGATCTTTATTAATTTTCATTCTCATTTCTGGCACCTAAAACACTATGAAGAATTCCAGAGCACTGTTTGGTAAAGACATTTGTCACCTCCTCAATACTTGGCAAGTAGATGTACAGATTTAGAATACATAAGGTTTATTTCAATACCCTATAGCATCTCTAGAATAATAAACACATAAATCATTTTCTCTCCGCATTTCAAGACATATGGCACTGATTTTTAATACACCCAAACATACAAAATGTTTATAGTTCATTCCTGTATATCAATACAATTACAGCTAGAAATTATGTAATCCCTTGTTATTACTGTACTTAGTACAGATATCCACCTTTTTATTAAAAATACATTAAATTAAATGTGCCAACAAATGGTTCCCAACAAAAATAAATGGAATGTAAAATAAATACTACAGAGGATATGATTCCACCATATAGAAAAAAAAAATTGATTAAAGAAAAAAAAAACAACCCCAAAATAAGCTGATTAATTTTTAAAAAGTTGCTTAAATATAGATGTAAAACCCTTTTTTTTTTATCCCAAATAAGCCCTTCAATTTGATGATTAGTACTGAAGAAATCTCATATCAGTACCCTAAATCTTACTATCCTGTATTAATTGTTTTCTAAATTTCATCTCTTTTTATGAAACAAAGTCAGACAAACTTTTTTAATCAGGGCCAAAATTTATTGATCCTCCCCTCTGCGCTCTCTCCCACTGGGTGACCAATAAACTAAATGATTGATAGTCACCTCCCTGATTAATTATTAATCTCATCAATTACAGGGCCCTATCTTAGCTCCTGAATTATTCGCCTGTCACCATCTAATGATCACAACTCCACTGAGTTAGATGGGCAGAAAAATTCTCATCAACCTTAATTTGGACAAAATGAGAGTCCATATCTGTGAAACTGTCTCCTAAATCAGCTACAGCCCCCTGAGTCACCCACAGTTAATGCTCACTGACCAAAATAAACTCTCACTTCTCCCCTTGTGGAGGGTCATTTCTGATTTTAGTAATTCAATTTTAGATTATTTAGTGTGCTCAGAATGAGAGTAAAAACAATCCTATGCATGTTTAAACTGGCATTAACGAAGTTTTGTTCTTTCTATTTTTGAAATCTAATTAGACCTACTAATATTTTAACTAAAATATAGTATTTTTTAACTACTAACAACTTAAGATGGAAGATTTTAATATCTTTTTACCTATTAGTAAAAACCTAATAGTAAAACTTTAAACTCCTCAACATAACCATGTTTACAATACTGCATATGTTGCTGCTTGCACATGACTTTGTATGACTGTAGCCTACTATTCCTGTTGGAGAAGACTTAAAGAAATGTTTCCCCCAATTCTAGTACAGTGTATATATTCTAATGTATATACATATTATAAGCCCTAATTTAAGCCATGATATGAACAAGTTTGAATCCAAATGAACTGCCACCCTATTTCTAACATACCTTTCCTACCTCCTCTAATAAGGGATCCTTCATATGAACAAACTTGACTTGAACCCCTTTACCAAAGGACGTTTTGTGGCAAAATTGGTTGTTTTTGAGACAAAGTTGAAAATGAAAAAAATGATACCGAGAACAGATATATAGAAAAACAGATGGCAGGCACACTTCTATCAGAAACACCCACTTAGAGCTTTGGTTTAGGTGAGCTATAAAGAAGGGTAGGGGGAGTTGACTTTCAAAATTAAGAAGGGAAATCTTTGGAGAACCAAGCATGACAGATTTCGAATACCAAACATTGACTTACTATTTTTTCAAACAGTCTTTCAAACTCCACTTTGTTTGGAGTAAGAATGGCCTTTTTATACCCAGTAATGATGGAAGGGTCCTCTGTAATCATGTGAAGACCATCCTGTAAATAGATTGGTTGATATAGAACTATAATTCTGTACCAGAAAAAAAGACACACTCAAAAATGCATACTTGTACCTGCACAGTATACATGTATAGAATAGCACAAAGAATTTCTAGTTGAAGGTGGGTGGAGGTGAGACATATTCCGATATTGTTCTTTCTTCACCACCTCTTTATTGGCTTACAAAATGGCTTAAATTGAGGCATATTTGTAACTGTTCCTTGTTATATACCCTTATGACCCTATTACAGATATTATAGTTACTTGTTCGTTGAAATAAATGTTTTTTTCCCTTTTATTCAGTTTCAAGTGAAGAGAATTTCAATCAGGCAAGTAAATAAGTGAGAATGAGTAAATATAAAAAAAAAACTTGATAATATTTAGAGATATACATCTGTACAACCTTGTGAACTTATATTTAATAAAGTTCTTCTGAATACAATGTAACTTACTATAAAGGGAGACAACTACATTGTGCATACTGATTAATACTTATTGCAAAATCAAGAATTCTTACAGCATCAATCACCATAGGTAGGCCTTGTTCTTTAGCTTGAATCACTATGTCCTGAAAAATCACAGTACAATTTCTTATTAAAGCTGCCCAGTCCAAGGGAGGTAATAAAAACAAAACAAATTGTTAATATCAGCCACATGTAAATAAGTATAAGGATTAGTGGAAATGCTGTGATGTGCAATACTGAGGTCAGTTACATGTGTAAAGGTCAGGCTACCAGTAAAATATTATGTGTTCCACGGAGTCACTTCACTAAACTAACTTGTTGTGATCTCACAATGGAATAAATTGGCAGGACTCTGCAAAGTTGAGCTCACATCAAGAAAAATGTCATAATCTTGAGACTTATTTTATACCAAAAGTATATTTGCTATTGTATTTTTATGTCTAAATTATTCTTTATAGCCTGAGAGTGCTATTTTATAACTGAATATTCACAACAATATTTTATTTTCTTTCTATAAATTGATTTTCAGTGTTATAAATAACAAAATATGAAAATTTGAGATGTTCCAGCTACATGTCCAAAGTTAGAAGCAGGACTTATATACTGTAGATTCCTTATTTTATGAGAGTACTTAATATCGCTAATTGGCCCTTAGACGTCAAATCGCGAGAACAGTAAATCGCGAGTGGATTGTTGATCTAGAGATTTTACGTGGATTTCAATGCCATCAAAATAAAAGCGAGTAATTTTATTCCGCGACTGTTGCTTCTCGCATAATTACGCGATAATTAATTCATTTAGGAATCTACAGTATACAAATAACAAAATAGCATTGGTATTGATTATTAACTGAGATATTCTGTGATAATCTATGAAAATAGTATGATTTCTAACTGAATCTTGAGCCGGCAGATATATTTTATTGTCTCTCATGTATAAATTGTAATGCAAAGTGGAAAATACCCTAAAATGCAAGGATAAGTTGAAATGCTCAAAGTATTTTGTAAACAAACTATAGCCTGACTCAGGCATTTTTCAGATACAAAAGAATGAGTTCATTTATGTAACAAAAATTACATCAAAAAGTGAGTGTTAATCACTTGCATCTAAGCAATATGTGAATAACACTTGATAAAATATACATTGCAGTATGTCAATTAATCAATCAAGGCATGTGACAATACAACACAAAAGCTGATTTGTGCCTCTTACAATCTTCTAAGCAAATTGTCTGTATTAATAAACATTTCTTATAAATCAAAATCAAAATCTAGCTAGCAGTGCCATGATATGTTTCAATTTATTTTAATCATGCGGACAGCTTTAACATAGCCATGCATTTGTAACTGTGGCTTAGATCAATCTGATACCTTAGTGTTTCCTAGTATCTTCTTGTCCCTCCCCAGCCCTGGCCCTATCACCAGGACATGGAGTCTCTGTATCCAACTCCCAATATCCTGACCAGCAGTAGTGCTGTCCCTACAGAGCAGAGGTCAAAGGTCACTAATGTCATAGGCTAATGTTAGAAATTATTTGAAAAAAAAAACAGGAACAGGAACCTGTATTTGAAAAGTTAAATAATCATCTTTTAATGATATGCTTTTCATACTGATATGGAATAAATTGATGCATTTTCTGACATGTCATAATGTACTTTGATGGATTAATTCCACAGAAATCTATGTACCAGTACTTCTACAATCTAAATACAGGTAAGGTGGAACATTGAGTTCAGGGCTATAGATTTTGTACATTCTACATACAGGTAAGGGAGTAAATGAGTTCAGGGCTGTAGGATTTGTACATTCTACGTACAGGTAAGGGAGAACAATGAGTTCAGGGCTATAGGACTTGTACATTCTACATACAGGTAAGGGAGTAAATGAGTTCAGGGCTGTAGGATTTATACATTCTACATACAGGTAAGGGAGAACAATGAGTTCAGGGCTATAGGATTTGTACATTCCACATACAGGTAAGGGAGAACAATGAGTTCAGGACTGTAAGATTTGTACATTCTACATACAGGTAAGGGAGAACAATGAGTTCAGGGCTGTAGGATTTGATGGCTGTAGCAGCTCCCTCTGTACAGAATATATAAGACAAATCACATCCCTACAATAGAAATACCATTCATTAGAAAGCATGTGAAAATCAAAAGATTTTATTGTTAAAATTATTTTTAATACTTATAGTCATTTTTTTTTGTTTCAGAAGTTGACAGAACTGAGGTTCAAAATGAGATTGTCCGCGGGAGATTTGGTCTAGAGTTTTATACCTAAATGAACAATTTCAAAGAATTTGCAGTCAAAAGAGTAAAATAATTATACATATGCTACTGATGTCTTTCTACTTACTAATTTTAAGGCCGATATAGCAGCATAGTATGGAGCTCCAGTGTACCTACAAATAAATGGTAAAACAATGTAAAGGGCAAAAAATATATATATATAGTTGCATATGTTTAGTTGTTCATACTTTTCTGTTTCCTATTTCTTGATATTAACTAAATGATATTGAAACTGAAAGTCAAGCAAATATATCAATGTTAAAAGAAGCATATTTTGCCTAGAAAACATGGTAAAATGAAAACTGTATAAAATTCAAAATGACAAAAGAAAAAAAAAAATAAAAAAAAAATAAAAAATAAAAATAAAAAAAATAAATAAATAAACTCACTCTCTACAACCCCCAATAACTCCAATTCTTCCCATCATTCCTTTGTGAAAGTCATAGGTCAAAGGTGGCACAAATGACCTCACCATTCCTAGTAACTGAATAGGAATAGTATGTGACCTATTATGAGGAACAAACAATGCCCTGTTACCTGTAATGTAAAAACAACAACTTAAAATCAAACATTTTCCAACACAGCATAAGTACAACATGGTAAAATTTTTGTTCATTTTCATCTGCACAAAGATTACCATTGAAGCATTAACTAATAAATCAAAAAAAAAAAAAAAAAAAAAAAAAAAATGAGTGCTAACAAATTTCTTTTGTTTTACTGGTTTTTCTTTCCAATCAAAGCCTTAGGCCATTCCAAGTTTTTACTCTGTTTAGCATCCACCCATCTTTCAAAAACCTACCTACCTATTTACAAAAAACCCACAAAAAACACAAACTTTATAGTCATAAAATGATGTCTTCAGAGGATTTGATTTCTTTGATATATTTTTCACATATGGTATAAAGATCTATTTTTTAGCAAAATGAAAGTATTAGATGCTTAAAATATACCTAATATGACATATTGTCGACAAATATTTAATGGAATTGACACAATTCATAGATTTTGATTAGAATGCTCAATTTCAGGACTCCTGATTTTGTTTGTTTTCTTTCTGATACGAGTGCCAAGGCGCACACAGATGCTAAACATAGAAAAAACTTGGAATGGCCTTATTTGATAAAATTTTCTTTGACATCAACCTGCTTCAAGCATGTTACAAACACTGATTGTGTAATTTACCTGCTTGATGAAATTTATCTAAGTTCCTTCAAGTTACTGAATGCCTGTTCTACTGATTGAACCTCCCTTATTTTTCACTGTTTGTAACTATTTATGGAAGACCACAAGGGAGGATACTCTCCAGTACACCCTAACACTCTTACTAAATATGATGACAATGCACTAATCTTATACAAACAAATTAAATTAAACCTTTGATGATGCATAGATAGATTCAATTTGGGGGGGGGGGGGGGGGAGGGTTAGAATTCAAACCTACACTAAAATTTTCACTGTTTTAAAAATCTATAGCAATGCACAGCAAGCTCTATCAAACATGTGTACAAAAAAAGGGGGTGGTTCAAAGGGTCCAGAACCACACTAAGATATTCCATGTGAGCACAGCAAACTCTAACAAAAATGTGGACAAAAGGAGAATATTTGAGTTGAAATCTGCACATTATTGAAAGAAACTTTAATGGACCCATGTAAAAATATTCTTAACCCCCCAGTCCTTTTTACACTCATAGCAAAATAGTGGCTAAGCACTATATATATATAGTGCTATATAAGGCATATACAACACTATGGCTTATAACAAAGAGTTGTAAGTAGCTACAACTTACTTGAAAAGATTTTTAAAAAAAAATACAGAATCTCTCTGCCACAAACTAAGAAAGTCCATTTAGAACCTATCCCAAAACATTTTTTTATTCAATACAACGAATTGTCAAATTTGTTAGAACGAATTTAATTTATTATAACAAATTAAATTTGTTATAACAAATTTGTTGAATTATAACGAATTCAAAAATTTGTTATAAAAGATTGAATTCGTTTAAACAAATTCTAAAATTCGAAATAAGAAATTAAATTCTTTTAAACAAATTCTAAAATTTGTTATAACGAATTAATGTCGTTAAATTAAATTTGACATAATTTACAGTGATTAATTATCATAGGTGAATAGCAAATGGGATAACTTCTCTCAGTGGAGTACACATTTCCCTACAAGATCAACAGAGCCTAGCCATGAACCAGAACACTGAAACCAGTGGTCAACAATATTTCACAAGTCTGGTAAAAACACTCTTGCTCATTACAACTTTGTACTCTATTCACCTCCTAGATGCCCTGAGGAGCAGAGAAGACTTTCAAAGTAATAAATGATCAATAGAGCCCCACCCTTATACCTCAACCCCTGACCCAGGGGGTGTGAAATTCACACTTTGGATTTGGCTCCCTTGCTCTGCAGCATAAATATGCAGTTAGTTTATCAGCTAATAACCCAGGAGCAGAGAAGAAGATTTTCAATAAATTAATGCATTTTTACTAAATAATCAATAGAGCCCTGCCCTAACATCAGAACCCCTGAGTCAGGGCCATGATATTTAGGGCTATGTATTGAGCAAAAAATTTCAATACAATACAATATTTTATAAAGCTATATATGCAATATATTGGAATCTTTTAATGACTATAAAACCAACATGCATTTTATAATAATTATCTAAGATATCCTATCTCCTTAATGTTCATATCATTATTGATCTGTTTAAATTTAATACAGTCAAATATAATCTTTGGTGATTGAAATTCCTAACTTTTTCACAGAATTATAAGAAAAACTGCCTGCCCAATACGTATTGGAAGTTATTTCTTCGATACGATACATTCTTGAATATCGATATGTATCGAATGATATATCGATATCCTGATACAGCCCTAATGATAATATACACAATTTCAGAAAAGACACCAATGCTCATCATAAGCATGCACTTAGTTTATTTGCTTAATGCCAACTGTTTGACTGCTTGTTGTCCAAAAGTAAAGACAAAGATTTTTAAAGATTTCATTAAATTTGATGATTTAAGCCCCATCCTCTGGCCCAAAGGGGTGGGGGCATGAATTTCAAAACTTTTGCTCCCCTTCCCATAAATGCCATATACCAAAATTGGTTGAAATTGGTTCAGCAGTTCCAGACAAGACACTGAAAATGTATAAATGTTAACACACTATGCACAATGCACGATGCAAGATGGACACCGCATAACGAAGGACAAAAATGAAAGCAATAGTTCACCTCAGTGAGTCAGGTGACCTAAAAATTGAATGAAAAAAATGATATTATAAGAGGCAAATAAAGGATGGCCACAGATTCTGCTAAAAATGGTGCTGCCATTGTCTTAGCAGTCTGCAAATTAAAGGAGATGGCCAATTTCTCATTTTAGAGGTGTAGAATTTATCTATATTATGAACAAATATTGAAATGTGCTTGCCCTAATTTTTTCATTGACTGACATATTATTATGTAGAGTACCCTAAGAATGACTTTGGACACTGGAAAGTGCCTTATCATGAGTGTAACTGTGGCGATCCACTCCGATTTGCTATTTTGCAACTATATGGGATAGTTGAGGGCTTGTCCCAAGACACAAAATTATTCTAACCCCCCTCCCCCAAAAAAATACAGATCCCTGTGCATTAATAGTGAGTGCAGCAAACTGTGCAAAGCGCCGCTCGCGAAGCGAGCTCAATAGACTAGCATGTAAGAACAGAGGAAATTCTGAATGACATATACGTCAGGCAAATTTTAGTGTAAAACCTTCCTAGAATTTCCTCACTACCTGGATTCCATGCGATAATGGAGAAAATAAAAAAAATATAATAAAATATCAAAGGCCTGCAGTTTGCTGAGAGCCTAAAATTAACAAAAAAAATAATTGCATTTACTATACAACATATTTCATTAAAAACTGCAAAAGGCCTGTAGTCTAGTTCAACCAGATGCTCGGCTGTCTCCGTGAATTCCGACGTCATGTGACATCGCAGTCTAGACTGTGTCTTGTGCAATGCGGAAGTTTGCAAGTTTGAAGAGGCGAATCTAAGTTTACAAGACTGAAGTGTAAGCTGTGTACAAAGGTTTTTTTGATGGTGCAACTGTGCTCGCCCAAACGGTCACACCATAAAACATATTATCTAGGCATTCAATTGAAACTTACGGTCATATGAATTTAACAATGATTGGCTTAATTTCAACTGGACTGGAACTGCTAGGCAATACTGACAGTGATTTATTTTTTTCTGTTGCGTAAACAAGTTGACTGATTTTTTTCGTGTGATATATTTTGTGAGAATGACTACGGATATCCTAATATCACGTGAAAACAAAAAAAAAATCTTTTAGTAGTGATATCATGTTTACATACTTAGAGGCATTAATCGACTTTTTCCAGCTAAATACACCACAAAACTTGACAGAGAAAACATTTTCGTTTCTGTTCGACAACCTTCTTTCACTTTCGATTGCCTCATTGACAGTTGTTAACTTGTACAAAATAGAGAAGGCATGGAGAAAGAATATTTAACTGAGTGTTTGTCGGAGCATTCGTTCCTTACGTATATATTAGAAACTCCCAGTCGTAACCATGATTATTTTTAAAGTATTTTTCTTTTTTTTTTTTTTAAATCCTAAGATTTTTTTTTAATGTACACACGAATGTGTTGACGATCAAGCTAATTGTCAATGGCACGAAATTTGAAAATGGCGATCAAAACAAACAGAAATTTATTTTGTGTCTTGAGCAGTGTTGAAATGTAATTTTAAAATTTAGCGGAGGATATTTTTTAATAATAAGTGGTAAATTTTGATATTTTCAAATATGATCATTATGTTTTTATCTGAGTTGAGCGTAGAAGTGAAATTAATTTCATCTGATGAAAATATTCTTGTTCAGACTTGTACAGTTGATACAGAGTTGATACAGATAACGTTCATAATTCATTATATCACCTGTCTGTTTTCAGATGAGTAAGCCAAGATCAAGACCACGTAAAGAAGAATTGTCAGGAGAAAGTGATTTGGGTAATTTTACAAAGTTATTGTTTGAGAATTAGTTAAATATTGATAATGCCTGTAGTTAAGTTTATTAAACTTATTGACGGTAGCCTGTTTTGTGGATTTTAAGCTTTTAATGAACTCTGATTTTGTACACATTGCTGTTCTATTTTGCAGACTCAACAATCACACCAATCAATGCAGCCACTGATAACAGTCAGGGTCGTATTATAGAATCAGATAGTCTTTCTGACTTCTACCTCCATGAAATCAGTGGAAAACATCGCAGGAGAAAGCAGCGTCATCATAAAACCAAGGAACAATATGAATCAGAAGAGGAAGGTAAAGCTGCCATTTAGTTAGAGCAAAAATCATTTCACAAATCATGCTGTTTTTTTCTTTACTAACAAATATATTTTCTGCAATGTGTCCAGGTACATGTATTTTTACTTACAATTCATCATTTGTTTTTTTACATCTTATTTTATACATATGTGCCAACCTTGACAATTACCTGACAGGAAACAAATTTGAAACATATTTTGGTACATATGAACTGTTTGATCATTATGGAATGGGAGATGACTTCCTATTATTCATTAGGATCATGCAGTGACACCTTTACTGTCCATAGTGAGTTCTATATTGAGTTCTGTTTGATATTGTCCTTTTTCTGTTGAAGAATATCAAAACATAAGCAATGAAAATGTCAGAGATATTTACAAAGAGCTACAAGTCATCAGTGAAAAGCTAAAGGTATTTCTTGTTTAGTTTCTTTTTAATATAGATATTTTGTTACAATGGTAGAGAAAGATAACTTAAATATGTCTATTTATTTATAACTTTCCTTTTTTTAAAAATTATTTAATGTACAAGTAAAAAAAGAGTACATATTTGATTTGAAAAGGCAGAAAACAGAAACCTTCATGAGAGGGAGCAAAAGTTAAAGGAGAGGGAACGGATGGTATCCATTTCTTCTCAAAACATACAGACCATAGCACAACATGAAATCAAACATAAACTACAAGCAGTGGAGGAGGTGATTAACGAAGGAAAAATTTAAATGTTAAACTATATAGATGTACATGTACAGATTTGCCTAATTCTCATGTTAAAAGGACATATTGGTACATATACATATGTATATATTAGTTGCAGTGAAATTTATGTTGTAGAAACACAAGGCAGAGGTTTTCAGATTAGAAACTTTACTAAGGGAGAAAAGTAAAGAAAACAAAAGATTGAAGGATAACTTTGAAACACTGAAACAAGCAAATGATGCACTTAAAAAAGAGGTAAAAGCAACTGTTCAACATCATGTTGAATTGGTGATTATATACATCAGATGATATGTATAATTATTAATTGAGAATAACAATTTAATTGCCAATGATGTTTCCAAAGATCTCTGGTTATTTTGTATTTTTCTAGTTTGAGTCCCTACAAAGCCAGCATGAAAAGTTGGAAAAGCAGGCAGTCACTGTTCAAGCCAGACTGACTAATTTGCAGGTTGGTTGTGAAAAAATGTACAGAGTGGATCATTTAAAAGTATAAAGGAGATTTTTCAGTATAGGTTTTTAACCTAGATTCAGATTTGAGCATGTAAAATGACTAGATCTATTGTTTTATGTTGACAGAGGAAGCAAGAGTTTGATCAGAGACAGAAGGAAATGGAGGTAGCAGCAATGTCTGTGGGAAATGCTGTCCCAAAGCAACAAAAACCTAAAGAGGCAGAAGAAAAAATGAAACAGAAAGTTCAAAAGGTCAAACATTAAAAAAAATTCTTTTAGATAAAACATTAGTACTCATCAGCTGACTGTATATTTATGAAAAACAAGAAGTATAGAAAACAAGTAGTCATGGTAAATTTTCTGACAACCTCAGCTACAATATACAGTATGATTTTCTACTCCAGAATTTGAGTACTCTGGAATTTTGTCCATTCTGGCCATAAATTTTAGTCCCTTGTACTTCTTTAACAAATGCAGTATAAGAAATTCTGGATACTGCTTATTCTGTAATCTTAACAGCAGTATTGGTCCCAACTGCTCATAATATACTGTAATTATTTCCTTTAATCTGGCCACACAGCATTACATAAGTAACTTTATTAATATTAACACCTGGCATGGCTGATGTGCTTGCTTGCATTCATGTAAGTGACAGGATGCTAAGTGAAACCCAATGGTGACACGACCCATTTAAATAAACATAACATTTAGTTCCATATATGCACTACTGTAGGATCCTAAGTATATGTGAGGAATTAATTATCGTAATTTTTCGAGAAGTACCACTTGCAAAATAAAAATACTCACTTTTATATTTATGGTGCTGAAACCAATGTAAAATCTCTTGATCAACCATCCTCTCGTGAATTATTATTCTTGTGATTTGACGTTAAAGAGCCATTTCGCGATAACAAGTACTCGCGAAAAATAAGGAATCTACAGTAGTTAAATGCAAATTACTTACTCATTTTACTTACTTTTAACTCATAAAATTGATAACAATACACTGATTACAAATCAAAATATAAATTGGGATCAGCCTCAATCTTTCAATTTTAAAATGGCACCCTAACATTGGAGGGAAGTTGTGAATGTTTATCTAAAAAATTTCAATATCATTTCAATAATTTTCAAATCATAAATGTGTTTTTGTTAAATGTGCTGTTTGACTTGCAAAACCTTCACTTTGTACGGTAGATTTTGAATGATATAAATGATTCTTTCAACTGTGTTTACATGACACGTTGAGTTTGAAATCTCAAACTTTATGAATGAAAAAGAGAAACTTATTATTTAAACAGTGGGTCATTTATTACCGGTAACTCTTAATAAATTTCTGGAAAGGATTTAATCATTTATTAATATTTTGCCACATATGCATCATATTTGTGAGTAAAACAAATGGCAAAAATTGTGAAAAAAAAAATAGAAATAAATCTCAAACATTCTCCCTGCACTCTGGATTCTGTCTAATCCAGCTAATTTTCATGGAACCGATGGTATTCAGATTGGAAAAATTAGATTGTATGCATATGTATATTCACTTATTGAGTTTATTAGTCCCCTACCGGTGAAACCGGAGGGGACTATAGGTTTCCTCTGAGTCTGTCCGTCCGTCTGTCTGTCTGTTCGTCTGTCCCTCTGTCTGTCTGTCAGTCTGTCCCACTTGGTTTTCCGCACTTTTCTTCTAAACGCTTGCAGATATTGAGCTGATTTTTGGTATGTAAGTGTATCTTGATGAGTTACAGATCAAGTTTGCATTTCGTTCCGCTTCATTGATTTTTGACGGAATTACGGCCTTTTCAATTTTTAAGGGTTTTCCGCAATTTTCTTCTAAACGCTTTCAGATATTGACCTGATTTTTGGTATGTGACTTTACCTTGATTAGTTATAGACCAAGTTTGCATTTCGTCCTGCTTCATTGATTTTTGACGGAATTATGGCATTTTCAATTTTTAACGGGAACCAGATTACACTTGCCGGTAGGGGACTAGTATTGCTAATGCAATACTCTCAGAATGTTTGTTTTTGTATGAAATTGTATTCAGTTAAGAATGGATTTGCAGTACTTTTGAAACAAATGTCATGTATCTGCTTATCTTTTCTTGATTGTAGACTGCAGCCTGTTTTGATGTGACTGGAGTTTTACTGGACTGGGTCAGTGATGCTCACCTGAGATGTGCTGTGTCAAATCTTCCAGGAAAACCATTCGAACACTTCCTCTCACCAGAATATCTTCAAGACAAAATCATGAAGGTTGAAATCTGGTCCAATCTTGATGCTATAAATTACAATTACTTTGCTTGTAGTAATTTGTGGACTAAAGTGATCTTCAATGAATTTTCAGATCCTACCTTCAGCTGTAGATATGTTAAGGGAGTTTCCAGGCCAGAATTTAAAGATATCTCTCCCTTGTATTCAGTTTATTTACTGGGCTCTTGTGCATGTGGAAAACTGTGCAGGACAGCAGGTAATTAAAAAGAAATGATGTGAAACTTAATATAGCTATCTTATATTGCATTACTATCAGTCTATTTTAAATGCATGTGTAACTTGAATGACTGTACACATCAAGTTGTTCTAGAAGTTGTAAAAGAGGTGTGATGTCTGTTTCAGAAGAGTGGATTATCATCCACACTACGACGGTTAGGAGAGGAGCTGTACAGAGCTAGGACTGTGCGATTTTCGGAGTCGGAGAAAAGTCCATCAGAATTTACTCCTTGTTCTCCTGTCAAACTGGACAAATCAAAAGAAGGCATTTACTTCCGCAGCCAGAATCTCCATGTCCGACTTTTGTCATCTCTCATCATTCTGAAAACTCTTAGCCAAGGTAATTGAAGACTTAGAAGGAATCTATATATTTATTACATTTTCAACAGTGAAATACTGTAATTTATTTATTGAATAAAAGTTATATTTTGTCACAGTGTGAAAAAATATCAGTGATATTTTGTCACAGTTTGAAAGAATATCAAAGTGATATTTTGTCAGAGTGTGAAAGAATATCAGAAGTGCATCAAAACTAGAAATTTGCCTTGCTTTCAGGCAGAGTGTTGTAAAAAATACAATGTTCTCCCTGGCCTGTTAAAAGATAGAGTAAACTCATCCTGACAGACACTAAAACTGCTAAAGTTTCTCCAAAAAAAAATTCAAATCTATGTTACGATGTTTTCAATCTCACAGTCCCTAAGCTATGACGTCTCAACTTCTCAACTATTATGTCACAGTCTATGACACTGTGTTACAAAAAAAACAGAGGCAAAGGAAAACTCAAAGAAAATGTAATAAACAGAAAATTCAATATTTTGTAGTTGAATATGGAAAATTTATTTTACTTGTGAGACAGGATTTTATTTTTTTATATTTTCACACATGCTTTGCACTCATGAAAATATGAAAAAATTCTGTCTCACTCATGAAATAAATTCCATATCCAGCTACAAAACATTGAGTATCCTCTATACATGTCTATTTTCTGTGAAATTTGTAAATTTTATTAATACCTAACTCATTCAAAATTATTTGTTTCTGATAAACTCTTGACAGATCAGTTAACATAATGAGTTAGATCTAACAATGTTTTACTTTTATTTCATTACACATGACAATACATTGTACTACCAAACAGCGAAATATTTTTGTACTTGCTAATCATTGTTATGCAATATTTTTCTTTGTAGTTGACCTTCTGGCTCATGTGTTTGATGTTTTAAGAAATGATCTTAAGTCTGACATTGCCAAAGAACTCTTTCTGTACTACCAGGCCACACCTGTGGTTCTTCAGTACTTAAAACCAGTAAACAAGGTAAATTTGATACAAATACTGTTGACATTATGTCATGTTTGATTACAAGAAAACCAGGTCCAGACAAAAGTCAGTTTTGTGAATCTACTCCATAATATTTAAATTGAACTTCTGGAAATAAAAATTGCTAGACTGCAAAAAGAGCTAAAGAGTTTCTCTTCAAGAAAATGACTTATTTGAACAGAATAATTTGTTTTAGTGCCACTCATGGAGCTACAAAATATCTACACCTAAATGTTACAACAAAACATATTCTCTAATCCCAAGTGCATATGAAACCTTTCATGAATCCAAATTCAGTTTCAGTAGTCCCACAAAAATTCAAATGTTACATATTTAGAATATTGTTATCAAGCATGGCATGTGTAATGATATAATGCTAGCTCAAGGGAGACAACTTATTCAAAATGTTTCTTTCATAATGATCTATGACTTGAAATTCGTACAGTAAAAAATGTAAATATCATTACTGAATTAGAGTTATTAAATGATATGTTCTTCATTGTACACAGACTTTTATGGGATCAGCTATGGATATCTTTCTACAAATGTCCACAGACTCGCCATTTCAGCAGCCATTCCTTGAGATGTGTAGTAATGAGAACTGGTTCAGGACAATAGCCATGGTGCTGAGAGCTCCCAGTCAAGACAGCAAACTACTGGAAAAACTCAGCATCATCCTACAAAAACTCTCTAAGATCAGGTAACAACACAACTGATTCAAATTTGTTTACAGTAGATTGGTGTTTGAAGATTATTTGTCTAAATAAAGTATACAGTATTGCTGTATTGGAGATGTCCTTCCTTTTGATCACATTTATGTGATTCAGGTGTTTAACTAGGATTTGAAGTTTTATGGTTGATAACCTTAATAGATCTGTCCTTCTTCCCTATGAATCAGAAATGGTGCTTAACTAAACTAAAGTGAAAAGAAATACATTTACTCTGAGAAGTGACCAAATTTCGATTCCATTGTTACATTCATGTTTCAGTGAAAGATATTGCAAAAGGAGAACGTTTCCTATACCTATTTCCAATTAATGATATTTTGTAATATTTAGACAGACACTGGTTACTGTTCTGACTTTGTAATATTTAGACAGACACAGGTTACTGGACACTGGTTATTGTTCTGACTTTCAGGTGTAACAGGAAGTACTTTGAGGTGTACACTATTGTTGGCATCATCCAGGAACTTCTGCGAGGCTGTCCAACAGATCAAGCTTTTCTAGCTCTCAACCTGAAATCCATTCTCTTCAATCTGACTTCAGGGGCTGCGCAGTGATTAATATTTCTGGCCATCAACGTAAAATCCATTCTCTTCAATCTGACCTCAGGGGCTGCGCAGTGATTAATATCACAATCAACAAGTTCAATATTCCTGAACTTTCACATTCCGTCCTATTTATAGTTTTGTGTAGTTTTGTGTTCACAAGTAGACCCAGTCTTAGCCGACCACCAACATTCAGTATTTGTTTGTATGTGTACTAAATCAGCTCTCCAGGTTTTAATCTGTAGCTTGTATGAATGAAAACTTCTCCTATTCTGAATGATTAATTCCAATGTTTTTCAAAGTTAGACATTTGATAACACATACTGTTATACATGTATTTACATTTGTGGTTCAGTGTACTGTGTTATATAAACATATCAAAAGCTATTACATGTACGTTTAATTTTGTATAAATTTTTCAGAGTCAAAGGTATGCTATGTCCTCTTCACATGGCAAAATAATGTTTAGTAATAATTTCATCTGTAGACATACCTAAACTGTGACAAAATAAAACATTACTTAGCACTGAATTGATTCCAGTTGTAACACACCATTTGATAGTATAGAAAAATTTGTTTATATTATATAACCTATGTTGTCTATAGTCAAATGACTTCCACAAAAAAATCAATCCAATTGATTTTGTACATTTTTAAGGCATTTTAGAAGAAGAAATTGTTCTTATTTTTTTACATTTAATGATAGAAAATTCAATTATAATATTTTTATTCAACGGTTTTGCAAGCCATAAAATGTACACTGCCCCAACCCAGATCACCCGGTATACAGTATAACTTGGATAGCTACATTGTATTAAAAATTCATTGCATAAATAAAATGATGTGTATGTTTAGTATAAAAATACTTATTTGCCACTAGAAATTGAGCCACTTGAGGAAGTCATTTCATGACTTCTGACCCCCTGAAAATTTTATACAGATTAGCATTATTGTTTTATTGAATAAATAATATTTTGTAATGTGTATGCATTGATTTTAATGTCTACAAATTACTGATAGGCATTAAAATTATTTAAATTTGTATAAATCAATGTATGTTATAAACCTCTGATAGTGTTGGAGGGATTGGTTCAAATCTTGACATTGATGATAGAGTTAACTGAAACATCATTTAAATAAGGTTAACATTTGAATGCCATATACAGTTAAGTTTTCTAAATGGAAAATGAGTTGGGGAAAATCTTTCCTTCCTTTCAAGCAGAAATGCTCCAGGGTAAGAAACTCAAAAAAAGAATTAATTATTGCCAAAATACAACCAAAAAACAAACTTGCATTCTACAAAATGTATTAATGCCAACAGAACTAAGGACCACAGCTTAAAATCCACATTTCCAAATATTCACTATAATAATTAGCCTAAATATCAAATATATATTTTTAAAATTATGAAGACTGTTGTTGAATTGTTGTTGTTGGGATGTTTTGCAAAATTACTGATAAATTTTAATAAAATAATTTCCATTCTAATGAAGAGCAACAAAAGAAAATTTTATTATTGAGTTTGTTCAAGTTATAAAAATATCTAGGTAGTAATATTCTTTTACATAAATTTGGAGAATTAATTTGTCAGTTTTTTCTGGATAAAAGCTAGCCACAACATATGACAGGCTTTATTATTATTTCTAAATGATTTATTACCCATGCATAGATTGAGTATTTTGGAATGCATACTACCAGTTTGCTTCAGAAGCTGCATCTGACCAGTAATTTGTAGAGAGTTGCCTGGCAGAATTTCTGAAGCAGGCCCATTCCTTAGTAAGCATCACTAGTACCTATAGTTGGACCAAACTTGTATGGTTGGTGCAGCGGATACTGTTTGTCGTAAGTGACTTACCCGGTATACATTCTAGATATTTAATGAAAGCTTTCTTTTTAGGCATTTTCATCTTATTTTCAAAATGAGTTTCTGAGTCTTTAGAATATAGGAAACTTTCATTGCAATTAGTTTGTAGGCCTTGATTACCTTTACATGTATATACATGTATCCCATATTTTTTAAAGGAGTACAGTACGTAAACATGCTGGCTTTGGCTAATTAAGAAAAATCTTTAAATGGATTGAATATACATGTTTGCCAAAAACTCCTGTAGCTGTATTTAAACATTAGGGATCAGATAGCATTTTGAAACGAATCATTATCATTCAGTCAATGCAAAACAAATTAAAGGAAGTAACTTTATTCATAGATAAAGGATATTGGTGAGCTCATGAAACCTTGTGACTCTATAAATAACAATTTGTGACTATAAATAACAATTTTTTGAAATTAATAACGTACTACTACAAATAAATAATTAATAAGTTACAAATAACCATGCATTTTCTAATTACAGTAAAACATGCTTATACAAGCAAACATGCTTATAACGAATTGACGTTTAAAGCAAAATGATTTTCATTCCCCATGGTTATTAAATATATTGTGAACTTAATGGATATAACAAATTATGTTTCAATTATACGAATCAGAATCATCGATCCCTGGCACTTTGTTATAAGCATGTTTTACTGTACCTACATGTATATTTCTAGGTCCTTTTACTTTTTACTTTAAACAATCTTATTTTCTATCCAAGTGTATAAACACCCCCCCCCCCCAAAAAAAAAAACCCCAAAAGACAAAGACATTATAACTGGTTTGTTAGTGAATTATACTGCCTCTTCAAGTTATAGCCCCCCCCCCTTTTTTTTTCAAAAAATGAACTGATGACAACAATAAAGTCTCAGTTTGTGCATTTTGTACTCAATAATAATCATAATAATAATCATCATCATCGCCATTACACACAATGTTCATTTATCAGCTCTTTTTTATCCTGAACTTATTTTTAATTAAGATTTATCAAAAGTTACATATGAAGAAACATAAATATATATAACAAAATTAATATCAACAATACATGATAATCTAAGCCTTCAACAATATCAAAATATTTTGATAAATAAATGTAAAATTGTGAAAATAGTGACTGCTACTAAATAATAAACATATTTTAATATATGGATATTGATTAAAAAATTAGGTAAACACTAATTTGCAGGCTAGAGCAAAATGGTCTGATGGGTACTTGTAGCTAGGCAAACGATCTGGGCCTATGGTGGCATCATCTGGAATATTCCAGAAGGCAGCCAGCTTAAGATTTCCTCTGATCCAGATGTAATCTATGGTCTTGCAGCTCTCTGTATTTTCTCCATTGTTTCCAGCTCGGATTTTCCAGGTTGTGTACTTGGGTTCTTTCTTCTCTGCTGATGCTTCTTTGTACACACTTTTCAGTCCCAGCTCACTGTTACTAAAGTCCTGGTACACTGGTTCTTTAGGACTTGCATTGAAGTCACCACACACAATGATTGGTTCAGACCCAGCTATCTTGGTTAAATGATCTAGCAGGTATTTTCCCTGTTGGTGCCGCAGATTTTCATAACCAGATTTGGCCTTGAGATGGACAGTAGCTACATATACCATGTGATCATTGTCCTTGACCTTAAGTTTACTGACAAGGGCAGTCTGGTTGGTTGCCTTGCCATTGTCTTTGAGATTCACAGGTTGAGTATCAATCATTTGAAGTTTGTCTTTGAGGTAGAATAATGCACAGCCATCTGGTCCCATATTACCCTCCATTTCCATACATGGGGAGTTTGGTTTTTGTACCCACTTTCCCTCATACCCAAGTGGTTTAAGTTTTTCCTCTAGAAATGAAAAGCAGTCCACTTCCTCCATACACAGAATGGTAGGTCCAACTCTATAAATCTCCTCTAACATATGTAATTGTCGATTTTCCCATGAGAGGGCCTCAGGTGGACAGAGAATAAAATTATCATTTCCACCACTCAAACCTGGAAAAATTTGAAACAAATTTGTGAAAACAACAAAAAAGCCAGTGGTTAGTCTTACAACAACAATGGCTAAACTGTAAATTGGGATATGATATTGTGTGATTTTAATATGTCTCCGAGTATTTATTTTTTAATTTAGATGTCAAATATACCTTATAAACATGTGGAAAATCTGGTAAATTATAATAACTGAACAATCCTTTTCAACACTTGCCTTGAGCCAGTATATTCCACTGCATGACAGTAATGTCCCCCTCCCCATTTTCAGGTACTTTTATAAACTTGCGATCCAATAAGTCTGGTAGGTTCTTTTTCTTCTGTTCTTTTTGAAGATCCTTCAAGGCAGCTTCGGTGGACATTTTCACTCCTCTAACAAAAAAAAAAACAACAAAAAATAATGGTACATTTATTACGATTGTTCAAATTCATTTGGCAGAAATGAACTACAGATATTCTGACAGCTATACACAAATCTATATGCAGAAAAATGGTAGTTTTAATTGCAAGTTTAGGATAAATAAAATTTTGCATAATTCCTTTTCATAAAAAAAAATATCATAATAATTTCATATACATGTAATTTTAGAGATTTTGATGGTTGGACTGCAGTTTTTCATAAAGCAATTTATCAATGTAAGCACACTTAAGGATACATAACACACAAAAAATTTGATGCATGGATTGATATATATTTTTGGACTATTTTGAATAGAAATGACATAAATAATAAATCACTAAAATATAAAGAAATTTGAAGTTTTCTTTGGTGTCTAGATATGTGACTGTGTCATATTCTATGTACAAGTTTCTAGACAAAATTTTGCACACATTTTTAACACTGTGACAAAATCTTACAAAATTCTCCCACTTAACCTGGCAAAAATTATTTAGGTTATCTGCTAGAATATAAATCTACAAGAAATATTGATGATTTCTGAAAAAAAAAGTTTGTGTTATTCATCCTTATGTGCAGATAAAACAAGTGTCTTTACATTTCCTGTCTATAAGTACAATGTTAATTCACTTTCACTTAGCAAAACAATTCTGAGACATAAAACATGTTGTTTATTGTATACTTTTATTTGTTTTCACATTTGTACTGGAATTAATCAAATGAATTAAAAGTATGAAGATTCGGTCATGGATTCAGAAGGAGGCACTCAGACTCCTGGGGTGTGCCCCTCTATTTCTGATATAGTTTTCACTGTCATATATTGATTTATAAAAGTAAAATTAAAGGCATTTATGTCTAAATTGCCTATGCTCAGGCCCCCAGCTGGACAGTCCTTAAGGGATCTCAGCCATACCAACACCCCTTGCCATCAAATAGCATGATCCCCCTCTAATATGCAAAATCCTAGATCTACATCCGAGATCATTACATACATATAATATAGATAAAACAGATAATACAGATAAAATTCTGTAAGCTGAAATTGCCCACTGATGACCCTGTAATAACTCATTACAATTAAACATTTTCTCAAAGAACCAACAGTACCACTATGAACACACTGACTTCCTATACCCTTTACTATAACAATCAAGATCTCATGTCCCTCAATACATGCATTTTTTTTATGCCCTGCCATGAAAAAGGCAGGGTCATAGAGTGTTTTAATGTCGATCTTCTGTCCTTCTGTCTGTCCTTCCATCACACTTTGTGATTAACTCAGTTTCAAAGAAACTATTCAAGATATTTTTATCAAACTTCATATGCTGATACATACTAATGAAAGCTTTTCAAGTGCATAAACATTTTTTGACCTTGACTTCACTTTTCTCAAATTAGTGTTTAGCTCAGTTTCAAATTGAAAAACTGTTCAAGGCATTTTTGTCAAACCAGGTTATATGCTGATACATACTGATGAGAACTATTCAACTTTATTAACATTTTCTGACCCTGACCTTTCCTTTGACCTTGACTTCGCTTTTCTTAAATTTGTGTTTAGCTAAGTTTCAAAGAAACAAATCAATATATTTTAAATTATCAAACTTCATAAGCTGATACACATTGATCAGATCTGTTCAACTTCATCAACATTTTTTGACCTTGGTCTTTCCTTACCTTGACATCACTTATCTTAAAATAATATTAAGCTCAGTTTAAAAGAGAGTATTCAAGATATTTTTATCCAACTTCATATGCTGATATATATCGATGAGAGCTATTCAACTGCTTCAACGTTTTTGACCTTTCCAAATTTGTGCTTAGCTAAATTTCAAAGAAAGTATTCAAGATATTTCTATCAAACTTTATATGCTTATATATTGATGAGAGCTATTCAATGGCATCAATGTTTTTTACCTTGACTTTTCTTTTGACCTTGACCTCACTTCTCAAATTTGTGTTTTGCTTAGTTTCAAAGAAACAAATTAAGATATTTTTATCAAATGTCATATGCTGATACATATTGATCAAAGCTATTCAACTTTGTCAACATTTTTTACCTTGACCTTTTTGTGTTAGGTCAGTTCCAAAGAAACTGTTCTAGATATTGTTTATGTAAGCTTATGCACTGATACATTATTTGGTGAGAATTTAATAAATGTGTCTTCTTTTTTTTTTTTTACCTTGCTTTCCCAATGACCTTTGCTCTACTTTTTATAGTGTATTAAACTCAGTTTTAAAGAAACTTTTCAAGATATTTTCATCAAACTTCATACACTAATACAAATTTTCATGTTGCATCTCTAATGAACCTTGGAAGGGGCATTCATGTCCTATGGACAAATTTCTAATTTTAATCTCAATTGTTACCAAGACAAGTCATGCAAAAATTTATACATGTACTTTGTTTACTTCAACTTTACATGCAACACATATTATAGCTTGAATTAACTTAACATATGAATTAAATATTTAAATCCTGATTTTTAAATAGCACGGTACTTAACAAAAGAGCTAAGTTCATGTCTTTTGGTTTGCCACTGATGCACATACTTGGTATTTTTATTTAATTCTAATTGCAAAATCTTGTATGTTTTACAAATTTTCAAGGTTCTTCAATACATTTTCTAGACACTTTAAGTATCTTTCAAGTTTCAACATACACTAAAGACACCTCTATGACCTACATAGAAGAAATGAAAATAATGATAAATACACACAAAATACTACATACAGTACTGGACTGGTAATTCCTAATGACTATTAAGTTTCCTAGGTAATAATTCACCACTACCAAACATATCAGTACATGTCTTATCACTAACAAGAATACTCAACTACAACTACCGGGTTAAGCTGTTTGTACAAATGATTTAAATTCTCCTGACTTGATATTTTATGCTTGATTAAAAGTTAGGTTCTGCAAAACTATACAAATAATCACTCTAAAGACTATAAGTTTCACTTAATAATGAACGACTTGTTACTGCTAATAAGTAATCAGTTAATTAAGCAATTACCTTCAAGTCTGAAATACACTACCACCTATGAAATCCAATGTACTAAAAATACGCAGTGTTGTAAAACCAGAAGTGAAACTGACGAGGCAGGGCATCTACTGATCAATAAAAATACCTCAGGGGGATTTATATGTTGAGTCAACCAATTTAATAATTTCCATACATATTTAAATATGGGCAAAAAAATAATATAGCAAAAAATGAAATCTTTTATGATTGTTTTTGAGAAAAGCTAGGGTGAAATCTATGGCAAAATGGGACAAAATTTTATTGAAGTTTTGTACATAATTTAAATTTAATTAATTTTTAAATATAATAAAAAATGAAAAGAATTTGATAGCAGGTTCACAGCCTATAAATATTCTCTTCCTAAGTACTGGGTATATTACAAAAAATATATATATGAATATATATATATTATATATATTTAATCTGCATCTGGTTCAGTGAATTTAACCCCAAAGCAAATCTGTAATAATTTGGATCTGTAGGTGGTGTACCTAAGCTAGCAATCTATTTCAGTGATATATCTATGATGGGTTAATGCTTGAGTTTTAATCAAGTCTGGTTTTACAGATTCATACTGAGTACTGAATTTTCACAATTCTTTGCACAAATACAATATATGTTGGGATATTAACCTCTGTACTACCGGTAATTTGCATTCCTGTATTTGTTCACCAGGCATGCCTGGTCAATAAGTCCCCTCCCTGTCAGTGAAAATATATGTTTCACCTCTGATGATTTTTAACGACACAACTTACTTGAAATATGACCTTAAAAAATCATTTATAAAATCAGCATGATGAAAAAAGGCTTTTAACTGAATTTGTACCTGGCTCTCTCACATAATGATCACACTAAGAGGAACTGGTTATTGTATAATTCTTTTATCCTTTTTAGCTCACCTGAGCCGAAGGCTCAAGTGAGCTTTTCTGATCAAAATTTGTCCGTTGTCTGTCGGCGGCGGCGGCGGCGTCGGCGTCGTTGTTGTCGTAAACTTTTCACATTTTCATCTTCTTCTCCAGAACTACTGGGCCAATTTCAATCAAACTTGGCACAAAGTATCCTTGGGTGAAGGGGTTTCAAGTTTGTTCAAATGAAGGGCCACGCCCTCCTCCAAGGGGAGATAATTACGAAATAGCAAAAAATTAATGGCATTATTGAAAAATCTTCTTCTCAAGAACCAGTGGGCCAGGAAAGATGAAACTCATGTGGAATTATTGTCAGGTAGTGTAGATTCAAGTTTGTTCAAATCATGACCCCCGGGGATAGGGTGGGGCCACAATGGACGATCAAAGTTTTACATAGGAATATATAGGAAAAATCTTCAAAAATCTTCTTCTCAAGAACAGCAAAGCTATGATTGGTCATATTTATTTGGAAGCATCCACAGGTGGTGTAGATTCAAGTTTGTACAAATCATGACCCCCGGGGGTAGGGTGGGGCCACATTGGACGATCAAAGTTTTACATAGGTCTGGAATATATAGGAAAAATCTTCAAAAATCTTCTTCTCAAGAACAGCAAAGCTATGATTGGTCATATTTATATGGAAGCATCCTCAGGTGGTGTAGATTCAAGTTTGTTCAAATCATGACCCCCGGGGGTAGGGTGGGGCCAAAATGGACGATCAATTAACATACATGTAGGTGTACATAGGAAAAATCTTCAAAAATCTTCTTCTCAAGAACAGCAAAGCTATGATTGGTCATATTTATTTGGAAGCATCCTCAGGTGGTGTAGATTCAAGTTTGTTCAAATCATGACCCCCGGGGTTGGGTGGGGCCACATTGGACGATCAAAGTTTTACATAGGAATATATAGGAAAAATCTTTAAAAATCTCAAGAACAGCAGAGCCACGGTTTGTCATATTTATACGAAAGCATCCTCATATAGTGTAGATTCAAGTTTGTTCAAATCATGACCCCCCCCCCCACTCCCTTTTTAGGGGTAGGTTGGGACCACTTATGCATTTAAGCTTTTCAATACTAAACTGATTTTTCCTTTTTTCCTAGCCACAGTGCTCAGGTGAGCGATGTGGCCCTTGGGCCTCTTGTTTTATAGTAGTAATTATGTTAGAGTCAAATCAATTTAGAGATATATCTTTAATAAATTCTGCAAATTTTAAATATGTTTATTAATAATAAAGCTTGCATAATTATCAGGATGTCAGATGATTTTGACATCAGTGTAAAATATATACAGTCTAACCTCGTTATCTTGAACTCGATGGGAACTTCGAGATATCCGAGGATTCGAGATATCGATATATTGTACTTTCTATTTATTTAAATTTGTTTCCTGTGCAGATACTGAAAAATTCAACATAATTTTTGGCTGCTAAACTTAGGAAAACACATACTAAATACATAAAGTAAAGATTATAACCAAAGTAAATAAGTTCAAAGGTTAGTTTTCATGACTTTTGCCAAAAATTATCATCTTTTTACTAATGCTCATTTTACTTGTAGATTAATCAAAGCCATAACTACTTCATTACAGAGATTTTTCAATTAATGTTCTTTCTAAAAAAAAATTCAGATCTCTGTCATCAAGACAGTCTATTACAGTGAAAGGGTGGATTAAATGATTTTTTTTCCACTGACATGGCCATTTTCTTCCAGAATTTTAGTGAAAACTGCAAGGTATTTTCAAAAGGCACAGTCACTGAGGACAAAATATAGTGAAATATGAAGATAACAAACAGTATTCAAGCTAAAGTCCATAGACAATTCAATGTGAAAATAATAGCCTAACAATTTGTACGAAAAATGTCATTCAACATTCAATTTAATGATAGATTGTTTTTCCTGACAAGGAGTATTGACCATAGAATGTCAAAATGTTGACTTTAAACAAGACTGTTGATATAGTTGTTTCATCAACTTATTTGCCAATGAATAAAGTTGTTTGTATCCCAAGTATGCAATATGTTATAAAATCTTACTGAAGACAAATGATTGTATCTTGTTGTGTAGAATATATAAAACTTTGCCATGGCTGGTCCCAAGCCTGGATGAGAAAGGAGGAGGGTTGAGCGTAGGGCCAGCAATCCTATCTCGTAAAAACCATGTATGCTACAGAAACATCTACAAGGAACTATATTTCAGCTGGTGAATGGAGTGAAGCAGGCCATACATCTGGAATTATGACGGTTCAAGACCCGATAGCAGATCTCCTGACACCGAAACACTACATCTGAGTTGGGTGCTGGAATATTCGGACATTATACCAAACCGGAAGACTTGCCCAAGCAGTAAATGAGATGAAACAATATAACCTGTCTCTGCTGGCCATGAGTGAAGTCAGATGGACAGGAACAGGGAAACAGAGACTGAACTCAGGGAAAGTCATTATATGGTCTGGACGAAGTGATAATAACCATCATGAGGGAGTAGCTCTCCTCATCAGCCAGAAATTTGCCAATACGGTCCTTCAGCGAAAGCCTATAAATGAACGTCTACTGTATGTCAGACTTAACTCCCTATACACGAAGGTCTCCATTGTGAGTGCTTATGCACCAACTGACAGCGCAGAAGAAGAAGCAGCAAAAGACAACTTCTACAGCTCTCTACATGCAGTACTCAATGACATTCCAAGGCATGATGTCATGCTTCTGATGGGGGACTCCATTGCAAGAGTGGGGCAGATTAACCACAACAGGAGAAGAGTTATGGGTCAACATGCAGTGGGCGACCTCAAAGACAATGGGGAAAGGCTCATCAGCATATGTGAGGTAAATGACTTTGTTATAGGTGGTAGTCTCTTTGCTCATAAAACCATCCACAAGCTGACCTGGACATCACCAGATGGACGCACCAAAAGTCAGATTGACCACATTTTGATCAACAGTAAATGGAGGCACTCTCTCCAGGATGTGCGAGCAATGCGCCATGCTGACATTGGTAGTGACCACAATCTTGTTATAGCCAAGATTTGTCTTAAGCTGAGAAAGGCCAAGATCGGTACTAGTAACAGCAAGCGATTTGATGTTAGCAAGCTCAAGGACCCAAGTGTCAGAGAAGAATTCAACATCACACTCAGGAACTGATACAGCACACTTCAAGACGAGACAGCTATCACTATCGACCAATTCCACCAGGCCATGAATGATTCTGCTGCAGAAGTCATAGGCTAAAAGAGACATGCCAAATCGGAACGGTTATCCAAAGACACGTGGACTACAATTGAAGAGAGGAAACAACTAAAGAAGAACCTCATAGATGCAAAGTCACCTAGATTGAAAGATAGGGCAGCTGCCTTGTATAGAAAGAAAGATAAGGAAGTGAAGAAGTCAGCAAGGAGAGATCGGCGCTACTATATGGAGCAACTCGCCGAGGAAGCACAGGAAGCCGCTGAAAGAAAAGACATGAAAACCGTCTACCAGATCACAAAGAAACTAAGAGGTGATCATGGTCCCAACCAAGACCTCCCGGCAAAAGCAGAAGATGGCTCAGCGATTACAGAGGAATTGACAAAACTATAGAGGTGGAGAGAACATTTTGAAAAGATTCTGAACCGACCAGATCCATCGATACTCCCTGACATTGATGAGGCAGAGACAGATCTTGAGATAGAAATGGGCTGCTTTACGCTGAATAAGGTGACAAATGCAATTCATAAACTAAAAAATGGTAAAGCCCCAGGAAAGGATGGTGTATGCCCTAAGATGCTGGAAGCAAAAGGAAAAGAAACACCATACATACTGCAGCGTATCCTCCAAGATATATGGGATAAAGAGGATATTCCAGATGACTGGAAGAAAGGGGTCATCATTAAGCTGCCCAAGAAAGGTGACCTTGGAGACTGCAACAACTGGCGTGGGATTACACTCCACTCTCTCACCAGCAAGGTCTTCAGCCACATCATACTATAACGCATGACAACTGCTGTAGATGACATATTACTTAGCCAGGAGCAGGCCGGATTCAGAAAAGGGAAATCCTGTACTGACCATATTTTTGTACTACGACAGATACTGGAGCAGTCATGTGAATGGAATAGCACACTCTATGCTGTATTCATTGATTTTGAGAAGGCTTTTGACAGCTTACACCATGAGTCTCTCTGGAAGATCCTGTGTCACTACGGCATCCCACAGAAACTGGTTCATATCATCCAGTCCCTCTATGAGAACTTTGAGTGCTGAGTGATATATAACAGCCAGCTCACGGAGCCCTTTGCAGTGAACACCGGAGTGAAGCCTGTGCTATTTTCACTTGCAATTGACTGGGTTATGAAGAACACCACACAAGGCAAAAGACAGGGATTGCAGTGGACACTGACCTCAACTAGGACCTTGATTATGCTGATGACCTTGGCCTCCTATCAAACAGACATCAGGATATTCAGCAGAAGACAGAGCTCCTCAGTGCAACATCTAACAAAATCGGATTGAAGGTCAACACCAAAAAGACCCAGGTTTTACAAGTAAAACACCACTAACAGTAATCCAGTACTGATCAACAGTAAGCCACTAGAGGATGGTGAGGAGTTCACATACCTGGGTAGCATGGTCACCGCAACGGGCGACTGTGACAAGGAAGTCAACACCAGGATTAGCAAGGCAAATCAGGCTTTTGCAATGTTGAAACCCATATGGAGATCCACAGCACTTAACATCTGCACCAAGATCAGGATCTTCAACAGCAATGTCCTCAGTGTCCTCTTGTATGGATCAGTGTGCTGGAATACCTCTTTGGCAATTGAAAGAAAACTAGAAGTCTTTCAAACCAAATCCCTCAGACTTTTTCTCAAGATCTTTTGGCCAAACACCATCTCGAATGAAGAACTGTTGGAAAGAACTGGGATGTCTACAATATCACAGACCATCCAAACAAGACGCTGGCAATGGCTTGGTCATGTTCTGTGCATGCCCCCCAACTCACTGCCTAGGGTTGCCCTTAGATGGACACCCCAGGGAAAAAGAAATAGAGGCCGGCCAAAGGAGACATGGAGAAGAACTGTCCTCAAAGACCTGAAGTGCAGAGGTCTGACCATGGAGACAGCACCACGAGCAGCTGCAGACCGAGCCAGAAATCCCTTGTAGCCGCCTCAAGCACCTGATGGCGCAGAGAGGATTGAGTAAGTGAGTGTGTAGAATATCTTAAAGTTACTCCCCAACAATGCTCATTAGGAGTCCTGATTTTTTTTTGGATGGAAAACACATTAAATATACTCTCAATTTTGTAAAAAAAAAAAAAAAAAAAAAAAAAAAAAAAAGAATTAAATTGCTTCTTATATGATATGACATATAAAGTTAGCACCTGATGGCGCAGAGAGGATTGAGTAAGTGAGTGTGTAGAATATTAGAATATCTTAAAGTTACTCCCCAACAATGCTCATTAGGAGTCCTGATTTTTTTTTGGATGGAAAACACATTAGATATACAATGTATGATATATAAATCAAGTTAGCACGAAAATATAATTTGATAGTTATTTTTTTACTCATAGATGCATATAATTTATCAGGTCTGGTTTGTTCTAAACAAAAGAAAACACTGAAATGGGTATAAAAGGATAATTACATTTATATTTCAAATTGTAGCCTTCATTATTTCAAGTGAAGTTGATCACAACGGAACCAACAAGCTCATTTGTTTGAGGACTGTTCTGTGAGAGGAATGACAAGTATATTAATCCTTCAGTTTCTACATTTCCTGATTACAGCAGCTGTAGATTAATTTACTTTAGACTCACTGTGATATGCTTATATGGGAGGAAAAACTTAACAGTGATAAGTTTTTCCTCCCATATAAGCATATCACAGTGAGTCTAAAGTAAATTAATCTACAGCTGCTGTAATCAGGAAATGTAGAAACTGAAGGAGTCCTATTATACTTGTCATTCCTCTCACAGAACAGTCCTCAAACAAATGAGCTTGTTGGTTCCGTTGTGATCAACTTCACTTGAAATAATGAAGGCTACAATTTGAAATATAAATGTAACTAGAAACTCATTGCGAGCAATGAGAGGTCTTCCGTCCGATTCTAAAAATAAAAATGAAAATTCAAGCTGAACAAGTGATAAAAGAAATTCAGACACTCTGGAGATTTAACCCTGGTTGAATGCGTGAAAATTTGCGTGCTAACCATTAACCATTCACTTTTTTGCTTCACTACCTGTCTCGACCGGAAGTAACAACGATACAAGATTTTCTCACGATTCAGATAAACTGATGACTGACTATCAGTCCTGAAAGTTTTAGACTTCAGTCGTTTGCTGTTGCCAAGCAATATTGTGAGAACAAATTCTAATTTTGAGGACAGGTAAACACGCGACCGGAAGTGAATTTTATAAAAAATCTCTGACTTTTCTTTAGACATTAGCAGTATCTACAACATATATAAATTTATTTACTTTGTCAATAAGCAATATTTATGAGAAAGTTAAATACAAAAATATCGTAGTTTATCTGCTAAAACCGGAAGTTGACGTTTTTGTTTCCAGTGGAATCTAACATATTTCAAAACAGCGAAAGAGATACAATGGAGTGATGCAAGTCTAAATTTAAAAAAGAAAAGTTAAAATTTCTGATTTCTTTGATCACTTCCTGTGACAAGCGGAAGTGACGACGGACGCGTTTAATCCAAATGGTTTCGCTTACTCCTCAAGATCTATTACTCATAAAAGTTTGGTGTTTTAATCTTTTACCTGTTTTTGAGATCTCGTTCTGACAACTTCTCATTTTGAGGACAGGAAAACACGCGACCGGAAGAGAATTTTTGAAAAGTATTTAAGGTTATTCTAGACATTTGCACTCTGAATAACATATTTAAAATTCATTTTAAATACTTCATCTATAAAGAATATTTATGGGAAAGTAAAAAAAAAAATCAAATTATTTAGTATTTCTCTTATAACCGGAAGTTGTCGTTTTTGTTTCCGGTGGGACTAACATCGCTCGAATCTACAAAAAAGATGCAATAAAGTGATCAATTTTTAGTTAAAAAAAGAAAAGTTGAAATTTTCGATTTCTTTGATCACTTCCTGTGACGACCGGAAGTGACGGCTGACGCTCTTAAATCAAATGGTTTTGCCTTCATCTTAAGGTCTGTTGCTCATGTAAGTTTGGTGTCTTAATCTCTTACCATTTCCGAGATCTTGCTCAGACAACTTCTCATTTTGAGGACAGAAAAAACACGCTACCGGAAGTGTATTTTACAAAGATTTGTGACGTTACTCTAGACATTTGCAGTCTGAGTAACATATTTAAAATTCATTTCAAAAACATTACCTACAAAAGATATTAATGGGAAAGAAATATACTCAAATGATGTAGTTTTTCTCTTGTAACCGGAAGTTGACGTTTTTGTTTCCGGTGGGACCAACATATTTCGAAACTACAAAGGCGATGCAATAATGTGATGTAAGTATTGATTTAAAAAAGGAAATTTGAAATTTTACGATTTCTTTGATCACTTCCGTAAGCGACCGGAAGTACTGACGACGAACAAAAAGTAGCGACCAGGCTAGTATTTATCACGATCTATAATCCCTGAAAATTTCACTTTGATATCTTTTTACAGTTCTTGAGATTATCCGCGGACAAAATGTCATTTTGAAATTCAGAAAATGGTCCGTAACTTGGCACCGGAAATGAATTTCCAAAAAATCTCTCGGATAAAATAACTTCAGATTACAACAAATTGTTCCTGCAAATTTCATGTAAATCCACCCAGTAGTCTTCGAGAAATCGCGTGCACAAAATTAAATGGGCGGAAAAATAATAATACTAATACTAATAATAATAATAATAATAAGAAACAGTAGAATCACTATAAGGTCTTCCGTGAAGACGGAAGACCTTAATTATCCTTTTATACCCATTTCAGTGTTTTCTTTGTTAATAACACTCAAGAATAAAATTAATCAATTTGGGATTGAAATGAAAAATGATTGTAGGCCTGTATGCATTCATCAAACCTAACCTGACACTGCACCAGTTTCTTAAGTTCTTGTCTAATGTTTGCCCCCGTTTGGTATTGCAAAAGATATCGGATGTTTATACAAAGCAAGTAAAGACAAAAGTACCCATGTAAAGAATTCCGTAATTGATTGATAAGGAATAGAATTTTCACCTATGCTTTGACTTGTAGAAGGTCCAACATAAACATGGGTATTTATTGATGATATAGAAGTATATAGGGGTTTGTTGGTTTATATTATTGAAAGTGGAATTGTAACAAGCACCTGCTGTTTGTGCGTCCTTCGCAACGGCGGTTCTTGCACACCGGAAGGGGATCCCGCGTGATACATCACATGACTTACCTGACGTCAGTGACTGATCTGCCATCATGTTCATGTTGACAAGTCTGAAAAGAAAACAATGAAATTCAGAGTGAATACGAACGTTTGAGAGCTTAAGAAAGAGAATTAAGCAGGTAAAATACAAGGATAACATTTAAAGTAAATCATGCAGTACAATTTTTAGTCAATTATGGATAGTATGCAAGATAATTTCTCTCAAATGGACACTGGAATATCCCTCGCTGATCTCATTGAAATGTGTAATATTAGATTATATTTATCATGCATTTCACCTGTAATAGATATATACACGAGCTTATAAATATTTTGGTTATTTCTCATTATGATAAAACATTGGAAAGACATGTATGTATTTTCATACACTGTTTCTTCTTTGAAAATAAAAATAGCCCACCTAGGAAACATTCTACATAGTTAGAATAATCTGTAAAACCGTGTTTCTGGATTCTAAGAATAAGTATAAGAATTATTTTCCCCTGTTTATTTTGCTACATTGACAACACACAGAATGAATTCTATCATTAAACCAGGTGTATAGGACAATATCATTTAAACGATAGAATGTTCTATCTAGTGGTTGAGCTACAGACATGAGTCAGTGTTTTGCACAGGGATTTGTATAGAGTAGTAACCTGTAAATACGCAAGTTTCAAGATTATCTCCCTTGGTGCACTCTTTCATCACAGAGGTGAGTTTTGTTTCCACATAAACAGGCAGGTAGGACAGTTATTTATATTGGATATGTTAAGTCATTGATATGCTGGTCTGTCATAACAGATTGCTGGGATGCACTCTTCAGCTCAAAAACTACCAAATTTATGTAAAGGTGTCAATTTTTTTCCTACCAAGAAAAAAACAAAACAAAAGAAAATATTAGAGGATAAATAAAGGCTTGTCAGATGATGGAAGAGATATGGATCTCTATAAAATAATAATACACACGCATCTGATCATTGCACGTCAGCATTCTGAATGACACACACACTCGTTCGCTTATTATAATTTCAAAGAGCCCATGCACTTACTCTGTAGAAATGGTTTGTACAATCAAGGAAGCATCTTTTACACAAAGACTTTGATGGTTCTTTTGTTTTCAGATATCCTAATTGAAAGTAGATTTTGTAAAACGCATATAGTAGAGCTTAATAAAATCATCAAAATCATCACTCTTGACAATATTTCAACTTTCCATAACATTAAATATATTTTATAAGCCCTAGCCATCGTTCATTTATTTGTACACATTTGTGTACATCAACAACCTGTCAAACTTCCATGCCAGTATGGATACTTTTTGTGCCTCTATTGTTGGAGAGTTACAATCTCGAATGACGGTATGGATACTTTTTGTGCCTCTATTGTTGGAGAGTTACAATCTCGAAACTTGCATTGTGCAACTCGCATTCCAGTTGATTAAAGTATCACTAAAATAACTTTAAAGGGGCCTGGACACAGTTGCATTGCCATTTTTCGTACAATTTTAAATTTCTGTTTTTATTCAAAAATAGCTTCAGTTTAATAAATTGAACAAAGTTGCATGAAAATTCTTAAAATTCAATGACAACAACATTCTTCATAACATATTACATCAAACATCTGTGTTCATAAACATGGGCACATACTCTGTTATTGTTAATGTTTATGTTTTACCGGGCATTCAATTTGTTTACTCTGCATATATCACTGAACATGAATTCAAAACACTGGTTTCTTGTTGTTGTTTTTTTTTTGTTTTTTGCTTTCTCACAATTTTATTTTGATTTTTCAGGATTAAAGTTTTACTTCATTAAAGTGCAAGGATGTGTGTCAATCAAATGCATCCCAGAATTCATAGTTTTCATAGTTTCTAAAGATGCTTTTATAATATACTGGTCTGAAATGGTCTAGCAACATGTACATTTGTAATTCATGATTTTATACTAAAAATTTAGGAAATATTACTTCAAATCTGTCTCCAAGCCCCTTTAGATAAGTATAATAAAAATATACACCAATACTTGCATCCATTTATTTGTTTGTAGCAACAGCTCAAGTGATTTTAGCTTTTACTCACTGCTGAAGGAGAAAAAAAATTCAATTTTTTGCTATTATTTTTGTGTCAACCTGACAAGATTATAGAATATTAAATTAAAATGATTACTCACTTGTATGATATTAATCCACCTGAAAAATTACAGTAGACAGTCTCTAAGAAACCTAATAGGTAATGGTATGCACCGATTCCTAATTTTGAAATCTATTTTTACAGTGTTTGTCGTTTATCAGAGGTTGCAGGGCCAGACTCTGAAGAACTTAAATAACCATTTCTTGCCATCTGAAAGCACTATCAAGTGCTTAGCAATCTTTGCTACATGTGATAAAATTTATGTAGTGAACAGTTCATTCATTTTTATTCATCCATGCATGGCCAACAACACTAGTGACTTTTCTTCTTTTAATAGTGACTGTTGTCTGATACATGATCAGTATAAAATAAATATATTAAGATTTGATACAAATTCAGAACAATGTCTTAAAAAATGAATATGATGACTGGATAGAACAATTGATAATCAATTTAAGGCAACTTTTGCAAAGTGTGCATTGGATTATAGTATTCATAGGTATAAGATTAGCTACAGCAAACATTGTAAATGGCCTCCAGAATTTATAACATTAAAAGATTGCATGTACACATTGACCATACAGAAAGCTAGATCATGTGATACCCATTCTCCATTTGGAGGTTGCATTTTAAGTTCTTCCACTAATTTTAAATATGCAAAGAATTATTAAGATAATTACAGCTTTTTCTGTGCATTCTGTGTAATTTTGTGATGCATCCAGTACAATTTAACAGCAAATGTTAACTGTCAGCTGACGTGAGAAACTGACAATTAGTTACCCTACACTTGATTAATTCTGATTAATTACTCTCACTACAGTCTCATTGTCCTACCATGTTTGATATAAAGGTATATCTTGTACACTGTAATTACAACTTGCTGGCTACCATATTTAAAGAATGTGAGAGCAGTTTCTTTGTCTATGGATATATATATATAAATATACTTTTCTCTTGATGAATACTGACTTTTATAAATGTTTGACACATATATGAGGTTGTACTAATTGTACTAATGTAGGTTTTATATTTTAAATGTAGGGGAAGACAAGAAGAAGAAGAGATGTCTCAGAAGTCCAAGTTACTTAAGGTTGTTCTACTTGGGGATGGAGGTGTTGGAAAAAGCTCTTTAATGAACCGTTTTGTCAGTAACAAATTTGATGCCCAATCATTTCACACCATTGGTGTGGAGTTCTTAAACAAGGATGTCAGCTTTGAGGGAGAGAATTACACCATGCAGATATGGGACACGGCAGGACAGGAACGCTTTAAGAGTTTACGGACACCGTTTTATCGAGGAGCGGATTGTTGTTTGTTGACTTTTGCTGTTGATGATATTCAGAGTTTTAAAAATCTGGCAATGTGGAAAAAAGAATTTTTGTATTATGCTGACATTCAGGATGGTAACAATTTTCCTTTTGTGATACTGGGAAACAAAATAGATGTGGAAAATCGAATGGTTTCCACTGAAATGGCTCAAGAGTGGTGTCAAGCAAATGGACAAGCTCCCTATTTTGAAACCAGCGCTAAAGATTCCACCAATGTTGATGAAGCATTTAAAGCTGCGATCAAACGCTTAAGAGATTTGGAGGATGTGATAGAGATCAAAACCCAGCATGGAAACACAGTAGACCTGAAGAAAAAGGCCAAGTCACAGAGCTCAGGATGCTGTGGCAATTGATGAGATTGTTTTAACTTATAACTTAGCAAATTTTCCTTTCATAATGACATTTCAATATTTGGCATTCAATGCATCTTTTCTATTAAAATTCTCTACATTTTGTAATTAATACACACACTTTGTCAAGTGAATGGAAGGTATTTCAAGTGAAATTATCATGTGAATCAAATTGTTGGACGGAGGAAGCATGTGCAATATAGCCCAATACATGGTGTTTGTGCTGTTTAGTAGGTATGCTATGTCTAAATGTTAAAAAAAAAATCAGGTGACAATGTGCATATTGGTAACATAAAAATGTAAACAGTAATTTTATGTTCTTTGGAATAAATATCAATTAATCATGTTGAAATATAAGGAGTTGTGACTAAAAAGAATTGTATAAATTATTGGTCAAATCATTCAATTTTGATGTGTATTGATACTTTTTGAAAACAATAAAGGATACATATGTTTTTAAAGTGATGATTTATTTCTAAAATGAATAGTGCATATGAATTTACTTTGTTAAAATCATTCTAATTCTCAGTACTCAGAAGTTGATTTTAAAAGGATGCTGGGGTTCTTCATTGACAACATTTATGTAGTCTTTTGAGACTAAGTCTTCCAAAAAAACTGTTAGAATTTCGATGGAAAATAATTAGGGGTGAAACGGTACACCTCCTTCACGGTTCGATACGTATTGCATAATTTTGTCTCGGTTCGGTTATTTTCGATACGATACATTTTGATAGAAGGAAACAAATTCAACGTTGTTTTATGCTTTCTTTTTCTAAATTTAGTCACCTATTTTACGAATTTTATTTGCAAATTGACTAGAAGAAATTGATTAAAATTATTTGACTGTCAAAAATTATCTTACAAGCTATCAGTCATCAAAAATTTACGTTTTCTATACTTATTTATACTGAGTAACGTGTTATACCTTATGCCAAACCCGACTGAATAACGATCCCGACCGAAAAATGAACCGAACCGAAAATTAGAGATTTTGCACCGTGTATCAAACCGAGAAAAAATACCGCGGTGCATCGATACCGCGGTGAACCGTTTCACTCCTAAAAATAATTGTGTTCCTTTATTAGCTGACCTGTTTTCATATTCCTTATGAAGCAGAATTTATTCAAAACAACATGTGTTTGTGAAACACTGATGCCCCCATATGGCAACTTATAGCAAAATATGTTGGTACGCAAAGTAAGGTCGTCTAGAGTAAAATACCTGTGAATTATGAAAGCCCTAGCAGCAACCATTGAATAGATATGGAAAAAGTTAACGTTTTTTCAAAAGTATGTCAAACATCAAGGTCAAGGTCAAATGGTCAAAATTAGATAAAAAGGTCAAAGTTGTTGGTATCCGAAGGAAGGTCTTGTCACAAGGATTACACATGTGAAGTATAAGAGCCCTAGCGCGAATTGTTCAAAAGTTATGGCCAAGGTTAAAGTTTGGTAAAATTTTGCAAAACTGGGTCAAACTCCAAGGTCAAGGTCAAATATGGTGGTACCCAAAGAAAGGTCTTGTCAAAAGGAATACACATGTGAAATATGAAAGCCGTAGCCTCAACCAATCAAAAGTTATGGGCAAGGTTAAAGTTTTTGCGGACAAGCAGACAGACAGACGGACGGACATGGCAAAAACTATATACCCCCGAATCTTCGATACGGGGTCATAAAAATTTACAAGAGAAGATGAAAACACTTGCTGTATCCTTCAACTCGACACTTTAGATAAATTGATGATGCATTATCAGTTACCTTGGTATATTTCAGTGAACATGAAATGAAAGACACCATAGAGTCTGCCACATCTATTTCATATTTGGGTGTTTCACTGACTATATAGACGATAAGGACCAACTAACAACTAAATTGTATGACAAACGAGATGTCTTCAGCTTTTCCATCATCACCTTTCTGTATTTATGTAGTAATATCTTGCTATTAACTGCATCTGGCATTTATTCGATTGTTCCGAGTACGATCAATTTTTAAACCGAGACAGGCTACTGACAGATAAGTTGATATTACTGGGATTACAACAACCTTGTTTGTAGTCAGCATTTCTAAAACTGAATGTTTGTGAATATCCAATAACTTACAATGACCTTGTTAGCCTATGGTTGTGAATAATTTATAATGACCTTGTAAAGAAATATAACCTGTCACTGGGTAGTTTTTTGGCTGCCTTGTTTAATACTAATTGTTATACTGAATTTGACTACGGAATGTTCCGTCTATCTGATCAATACACAGGGCTCACGGCGGGCGTGACCGGTCAACAGGGATGCTTACTCCTCCTGGGCACCAGATCCCACCTCTTGAGTATCTAGGGGTCCGTGTTTTACTCTCTCTTCACATACATGTATTTGTATTGTTTATAGATTTTTTAAAGATCGATCACTGTTCTTTATTTTCACCTTTTTCATTATATTGACAGAGAGAATGTTCTCAAAATATCAAATTCAACCCTAGGGCTAAGCCGTTTGATTATACAGAATGATAAACCGGGTACTTTACACACGCGGATCTAAGGGGGGGGGGGGTCTGGACCCCCCTCCTGGAATTTGCCTAGTTATAAAAAGTATATCCCGAAGCAAAGAAAAAATGACTTTGGACCCCCCCCCCCCTTAGAAATCATGGACCCCATCATCACTATCATGAAATAGGTAATTTTCACGTTTGGGAAATGGATAATACTTTTTATTTATTTATTTATTTTTTTGCTTTTCAAGAAATTTTCTGGGTTTTAATACATTTGGAAAGGGAATTTAGTTTTTATTTGCCCCCCCCCCCTTCAAAAAAATTCCTGGATACGCGCCTGCTTTATTTTACAATACCGATACAAAAGTTATCTTAAAAATAAAATTCTTTATCAAAATGGAAACTAATTACAGCAGTTTCGAAACTTTTTTTTATCAAACTATAAGATGATCTGAATAAACAGTTAATAGCTTATATAGAAATATTCGTGCATGGAAAAACTAAAACACTCCATTGGACGTTTTCTTTAGAATTGGGATCAAAAGAGTCTTCATTTAAAAAACAATATAAACATACTAGTACAATATTAGCCAATAAAACCTTAAAAGGACATACACAGGGTAGTTTTAAACATTATTTTCTTATTCTCTGTATAATATACATGTATATAAAAGTACAAATAACTGAAGGTCCTTTTTGTACGGTTTGTGCGATTCAGTGACGTATGCCTGGTAATACTGTACACCTTTTCTGAATCAAATTTTGAATTTTCTTTAAGAAATACAGGGATTTTCATCTCATGATATCTGTTCAAACTTCTAGTAGTATATGCTTTTTTTGTCTAAAAACATCTGATGGTATTATGGTTTTTAAAGAGGGATTCTTCTCATATTCTTCTCATATTTCTTGTATTTAAAAATTAATGAAAATTTCATAGATTCAAGAAGACAATATCACTTAGTGATGGTATCAATTAGATTAAATTTGACCGTTTTATTTTAGAAACAAGGTCAGGTCAAAGTCATTATCTTTTTCCTTGAAAATTAGAGTAAAAAATTACCGTTGCTAATCATGTGATGCCTACTTCTATTTTAAAAGATAAAATGTTTTCCTTTTTGCACAAAACGATGATACCATATCGGGTCTTCAGATGATTCTACCAAATTAATTGACATTATTTAACTTAAATAGATATTGGCTAATCCGAATTTAATCTGTTTTTCTTAAATTTTTAGGATATATTAGTATTTAATGTACTTCTTATATTTAAATATTTCTTATTTTTACATATGATAAAGTAGTCATATAAATATACAAAATGATACAAAAACAAAAAGCTTTGACCGTTTAGTAAGAGAGAAAAACACTTTTTACTGATTTTTGCTCAAATCTGTTTTAAGGTTGGAGGCTTTCAAAAGCTAACAAGATTGTACAATGTAGTTTGTTTAGAAAATCATTTTTATTTGCTATGTTTTAAAAGTTTACGGCATTATTATTAATTTTAGTTATATATCAATCTTTCTTTAAGTCTTTGATTGTTTTTAAAAAATTAACTAAATGTAATATTCTGTAAGAAATTTTGATAGGCAGAAAAGGAGATATTTTCATACGCCGCATTCGCTCCAAAATATAGTCCCTGATGGATTTCAAACTCAGTTTACCATTTCTATTTAAAATTGTACAATTATGATGAGTAAAGAAAAATATGATCTTTTACGAGGGTTGTCCGTAAAGTTCGTGGAGAAGCTAAAATTTAAATAAAAGTTGCGTCATAGATATTTCTCATTAGTATATTTATAATCCTTTATTATGTGTGAGTTACAAAATGAAAAATTTTACTCAATTTTAAGTGTATAATTACAATTATGACTTCATTATTAGACTTGGTATGGTGACCCGGAGCACAACAAAGTTTTAATTAAAAAGTTATTTATCACTTTATACATTTCATTTGTATTTTGTAAAATTCCGCGAAAATTTGGATGGCTTTTACATTAAAATGTTGACAAAACTTATAATGTCAAACCTGTAAAATTTGAACATTCAAAGTTTCGAAATGGCAGAGAAATCGAGGTCAGAGTTTATTAAGACAGGATCATCATTGTTCGAAAAAGAGACGTTTTCGGAAAAGGTGGAGCAGAGAGTAGTGATAAAATTTTGTGTAGACATCGGAAAAACACCAACAGAGACCCATAAATTCCTTAAACAGTCGGGAAATCATAGTAAAGTAATCTATTCTTTAGATCTGAAGTGGCACAGAAGATTTTCGGACGGAAGAGACAGTTTACTGGATGACATGCGTGAAGGAAGATCATCTTTCCGAGATTGTAGTGCTGTCAAAAATGAAGTTCGTAACGCGACTTTGCCGTATTTCCGTACATACAGTCGTTTTACGCGGACAGAGGTTTGATGATTTGCAGGATCTGAGACAGGAACTGCTAAATATTATAATTTCACGTATGAAATTAAACCAGAACAGTTTGTGCACATTTTTGATGACTGGTTGAAGAGACATAAGAAATGTGTTGTTTAACGGTGACTACGTTGAGAAAACTTAAATGTATTTAGCTTTTGACGTCGAGTAACGTCAAGGATTTTCATTTTAGTGCTCCGGGTATGAGTGTGTATCTTTTTTGTATCTGATAAAATATAACTATTTGTGCTTCGTTTGTGATTAAAACTTGCAAATTAATATACTGAAACATGAATTTAATGAAAATAATAGTTTCATATATTTTATCAATGTTTGTCAGTAATTATCAATGTTGTCCACGAACTTTACGGACAACCCTCGTAAATACATTACAGCTAAGTTTATAAGACATACAAGCAAAAATATTTGGTATATTTCGTCTAGTCAGAAACCAGACAATAATCCCTCTTTAAAAGTACATGTAAAATTACGTTATGTATGACATTAAATAAATCATAAGTCCTGTTTTGATTCATCTCCAAAATATATATTATACATGGAGAAATTT